TACAGCATGCTGGGATTTTAATGTCTACTTCCTAGATTACTAACAAGGTGGAGTGCATTTTCATGTGCCTTATTGATTGATTGTTAAATAACGGTTTGAGTCTTCTGTCCATTTTTCTGTTAGTTGGCCTCTTTTCTTCTGATTGTTTTGATTTAAAAAATTTTTTTTAAAATACTATTTAATTTATTTATTTATTTTGAAAGATTTTATTTATTTATTTGACAGATGGAGATCACAGAGAAGCAGGCAGAGAGAAAGTGGAGGAAGCAGGCTCCCTGCTGAGCAGAGATCCCGATGTGGGGCTCGATCCCAGGACCCTGGGATCATGACCTGAGCCGAAGGCAGAGGCTTTAACCCACTGAGCCACCCAAGCGCCCCAGATTTTTTAATTTTTTGAAAATGTTTATCAGAACACGCGGAGGGGGGAGAGGGAGAGAGAGAGTCTCTCTTTTTAAGATTTTATTTATTTATTTTTGAGAGAGAGAGCGAGTGAGCAAGCAAGCGCAGAAGTAGGGGGAGGGGTAGAGGGAGAAGCAGGCTCCCCACTAACCAGGGAGCTCAGTGCAGGACTTGATCCTCAGATCATGACCTGAGCTAAAGGCAGATGCTTAACTGACTGAGCCACCCAGGTGCCTGAGAGAGAGATTCTCAAGTAGACTCCATGCTGAGCTGGGAGCCTGATGCGGGGCTCTATCCCATGACCCTGAGACCACGACCTGAGCTGAAACCAAGAGTTGGAAGCTTATCTGACTGAGCCACCGAGATGCCCCTTTTCTTACTGATTTTTAAGTTCTCCTCCCCTCAGAAGAATTTCAGTAAGTGTCTGAAGATTCCCCCTCGTCTATGGCTTTCCTGGCCTGTCTCTGAGGATTAGGAGAGAAATGCTTCCACCATTCTGTCTGTGATATCCTTTCTCTTTCAGTCTCTCTTGTCTTGCCAGCTTCAAGGTCTACAGGGTGCTCTCACTGTCTGGTTAGTGGGTATCCATGTCGTGGTCTGTCATTTGTTCTGTAGTCTTACTCTGCCCTCTCCCTTGGTACCAAGTGTGCTTATTCATCACTGAATCTCTGTGATGTCACTGATTGGTCCTGTCAAGTTCAAGTATGACCCTCCTTTTAATTTGCGTTTACCATTTCAGTTGATTTAGTTATGTGAGCCATTTCTTTGCTTGAAAAATACAGGGCATTTTTGGTCTCTAAAGTCTTTTCTGTGTGAAGGCTAGATTTTGGGAATAGTGGGAAGAGTTTTACCCTTTATGCACCATTCCTTGGCTTCTAAGAGTTGTGGTCTTGGCTGCTATCCAAGCAGAGGACAGTTTTATTTGTAGGAACATCTCTTCCTGCCTTCTTCCTGTCCTGTGAGCTGGATGAGCAGCTAGGAGAGGTCTCATGCAGCACCTGCTTCTCTCCTGGGGCCTTTCCTGACCCCTCTTGCTCCCAGATCAAGGAACTGAAGAAGAAGCCCTGTGCAGGACAGCTCTCTTACTGGCAGCTGCTCATTTTCCTTTTCTTCTGAGGAGACCCTTCTGTCCCCACTTTTCTTGTGCATTGGCCCCAGGCTGGTGTTAGGGAAACAAAGAGGAACAGGCAGGAGCCTTTGTTGTGGTGTGTGACACTGCTAGTTGTTGTTTGGGAAGCTTCGTCAGAGCTAGAATGCTGTTGAGGACCTTGTCAGGAGACCAGCGTGAGGAGGAGCCTTTCAAGGAGATGGAGTCATTACCAGTCTTGTGGACCACTAAGAAATATGGATTCTGTCTCAAAGGTGACAGAAGATGATGGGATAGAAGCAGAGATAGACTTTTATTTGGTGGGAGTCTTCTGTGACGATTCCCATGGTTTGGAACATGGACTGTTGGTATTGGAACGGTCTCAGGAGGGAGGTGCCACATGGTCCTGTCAAATAGATACTGCTCTAAGATCAGGCCCGAGAGCCTGGAGCAGCGCTGGTGTGTGTGTGAGAGAGAGCATGCCTCCACACTCGGATGACACTGGGGTGTGACATCGACATGACAGCCCCTGTGTTCAGAGGGGTGTGTGGAGGTAGCTGCTCTGGCTCATGCAGCTCGTCAGAGTTTTAGACCCGGAGGCATGTCCTAAAGCCACTCGAGTCTTGTGCACGTGGGTCCCTTTCAGTCCCATAACAACCCAGATAGCTAACTTTTATCCTCCTTTTCCAGAATAGAAATGATGACAGTCTGCCCATGTTTCCTGGCCAGTCAGTGGCTGGGTAGGGTTCAAATCTGAGTCTGTCTGAGGTTTCTTCACACCCGCACAAGTAAGAGTTTTTTAAAAGTGCTGAAACCAGATTCTTGGACATTTATCTGTCAGTGTTTACTCCCTGTACACAATCACACAGATTGAGGAAGGGATGTCACTGTCATTTGTTTCCTATTATTCCCTGTCTTTAAACACAGCAGTTTTGTCTATAACTTGCTGCCTTGTGGTGCCCAATACTCATGAAGCTATTCCACGGTAGCCCCCCTCCTTTGGCTTGTGGAAGATGATGGGCCCAAAGATCCATCTTCTCAGATGACATTGGCCGAGTTCTGGAATAATGTGGGCACTTCATCTTGTAAAGGTTGTCACAGGAGTAGCAGAAGCAAGACCTAAAATAGAAAGACATTAAAAAATGTCATTGTTCTCTTCTTTAACTATCGTATTGCATAACTCTTAATATAATCCCTGAGTTATGAAAAGAAAGTATATTCTTTCTCTAACTGTATTTATTACACTGATAAAAATTTTTAAATATTAGATCACACCCCAGAATGAATAATGAAGAAGTGTTTTCTGAGATTTTATAGACAGTTACTGATGAAAATGCCTTAAAGCACTGACCCCAGGCCATTGGCAGTTGCCAGCTCTCCCATGGCCTTTCCTGACCACCCTGTCTGTACAAAGTATCCACCAGCCCCATTCCCACACCCACGTTGTCTTCAGGACCTGTGTCAGTGTCTGAAATTGTCTCTCCCCAGGGTAAATTCTGTGTGAGTGGGAACCTGGCCTGTCATAGTCTTGGGATCTCAGATCTAGAGCAGACACTTAGCATGTGCTTGCTGGGCAGATCCTGGGATATGGGCTGTTCACGATGCTCTCCGTGTCTAAAGGAGAGTGGCTGTCACCCCGTACCCCGCCCCCTCAAGAGGGGAACCCAGCTTATCCAGTTGTCTGTTTTCTCTGTCCTCCAGCTCACCACCCCTCCCGCCCCCAGCTTCCCCAGTCTGGCCCCTACATGTCACCCTGGTGACATGAGAGAATGAACCATGGATTTGTGACCCAATTCTAATTATCCCCTCTGTGATTAAGATTTATAGGTGCTTATAGAAATCACCTAAGAGATCATTTATAAAATACCATTTCTAAATTTTCTGAACCAGAAACATGATCATCTAATAATTTAAATTGGGTGTTGCTAGTACAAATTAAAGCTAAAAGATGGGCCCAAATCCAGAAGTTAAGTAACGTATTTTATTGGGGAAGCAGGCATTTCCCTAACACTGCTGGTGAGAATGCAGATGGCATCAGCCCTGTGAGCGAATTTGGCAGGAAAATTACATATGTGCTTGCTCTTGGGGCAGTTCTGCTTCCAGAGACTTTTCTCCCAAATATCCCGGGAAGTATGTGAGGTCAGTGAAAAGGCTCTTCATTGCAGCACTGTGTGAGATAGGAAAGGACTTTTAACAACGTAAGGTTTCTGTTAATAGGCACCTGGTTGAACAGACTCTGGTGCTTCTGCCCGGCAGGGGCCCATGCAGCTGTAAGGGAGAGTGAGGGAGCACTCCGTGTTGCTGAGGAGACGTGGGCAGGGTAGATAATAAATGAAAAAGCAAAGGCAGAGAAAAATATGTGTGATTTACTACTGTTTTAAAAAGGGGGACTATGAGTAGATATATATCTATAATAGATATAGATATATGTGTTTGCATCTGTCTTAAAAAGGAAGGATAAACCATAGTTGTACTTACTTTTTAAAAGCTGCTGGTGGGGAAAGGAGGGAACCAGGGTTGGGGGGACACAAGTCAAAGGTGGACTTCTGACTGTACCTGTTTGTTAGATTTGACTTTGGAACCATGTAGATATTTTACATCATTACAAAACAAAATACGTAAAATGTTACAACTTTTGACAGTGTTTACCAAAATTTTTAAATTTTTCCCTAAAAAGTTTATACTGTATTTAGCTCCCATCATTGCTTGAGGAGAACTCTTTTCTCCCATACGTCGGCCAACACCAGATTACCCTCTTTCAAAACTTTGCCAGTCTGATAGGTGAAAAATAGTTGGCTACTTTCATCTGTGTTCCCCAATGACTAGAGCAGTTAAGCATCTTTTTATTTATTAGCGCTTTGTATTTCTTCTGTGAAATGCAAGTTCATGGCTTTTCTTGGTAAGAAAGATTTTTCTATTGATTTGTAAAAACTCTTTATATGTTGTAGATACAATTTTCATTTGTTGATTATTACCAGGTTCTTGACCTCATTTCCAATTAAGTTGTTCAAGCCCTTGAGTATAATAGCTGGTTTTTTTTCTCTTGTCACACAGTACAGAGTTTTGTACAAGAACATTATATATGATGCATTTGAAATGCTAACATCATATTTAGAGTAACTTGGTCCAGCTTTTCCTAGACTGTTCAGGTGCTGGACCTCAATCTGTGAGCTCTTTGGAGTGATAGCAGTTGTGTTTTCTTTCCTTTTTAAAAAATTCCTGTGGCTTATTACCATGGTCCAAGTGGTAGGTGGTTGGTGAATGTCTGCTGAAGTTGGTTTTTGGTGAATGTATAAACTAAATTTGATTGTCTTTTGATTTTGAGACTTTTCTTGATTTTTAATAATCCATGATGATCATTTTTATGTTTGGTTCAACTGAGAATCTGAATGAGTCTGCCCATTTTCATTAAAAAAATATATGTGGTGAAAGTAGATTTTTGGAAGTTTGTATAGTTGTGAGTGTTTGTCCTTTGTTCATTGCTCTATCGCCTGTATTTCTTGTTTCTTTCTAGGTTATTACTCCGTGTAGGAGACTCATCTTGTGTGCCGATAACAGGAAGGAAATGGAAGAGTGGATTGCAGCGCTGAAAACTGTCCAGAACCGGGAGCACTTTGAGGTCTGGAAAGAGAAACATCCCTTCTTATTGCCAACCCGTTAATATTCTGCCGTTGAGCATCAGCCATGTGTGGCCTGAGCCGTCTGGCACTCACTTTCTCGCATATTCCTGGTAAAATTAAGGCTCATTCCTTGTCCTTTTGGCTGATGCTGTTCTCCTCTCCTCTCTTGGAAACTTTATTGAATCCCATTGAAGTTACCACATTCAGGGATGTCGAAGGGACACCTTATCTTTGCCATCCCTATTCTGTTCTTGCAGCCTACCCAGTACAGCATGGACCATTTCTCAGGGATGCACAACTGGTACGCCTGCTCCCATGCGAGGCCGACCTACTGCAACGTGTGCCGGGAGGCTCTGTCCGGGGTCACGTCTCACGGGCTGTCCTGTGAAGGTATGAGCAGTGTGGTACTCTGCTGGGAAATGTGGTCTGAGGTTGGACTTGATGAAACCTTAGAAGCTCTTGAATGGTCCCCACAAATCAGTCAGTAGAAAGTAATTTCTGGGACTCCATGCTTGTTTATTTTACCTACTAAGGAGTCTGATAAATTATTTTATATTAGTAATGGAACAAAGTAAAAAGTGAAGTAGTGGTAATGAGACACCAAGAGGAAACATGAAGAACACAGAGGAAAAGAGGTGACAAATCTGTGCTCCCCGAGGTAGGTATGCCTTTCAGTAAACTAAGCCGTGATAAACCCATTAAATGTGGTCTTCTGGACCTGGAGGGCAGCTTACAGTGGCGCAAAGAACAGAGGGCAGGAGTGGAGGCAGACCAGTCCTGGACCCTGGGCCAGTTCCCCCCCGCTCCTGTTCTTGTACTGCCTGTGAAGTTAAGAATGGTTTGTACATTTTAAATGGTTGGAGGGTGCCTGCGTGGCTCAGTTGGTTAAGCATCCAGCTCTTGATTTTAACTCAGGTTATGATCTCAGGGTTGTGAGATCAAGCCCCATGTTGGGTTCTGTGCTTAGCATAGAGTCTGCTTGTCCCTCTCCCTCCCTCTCTGTCCATGCTGCACCTTCCCCGCATGCATTCACACTCTCTTGAATTAAAAAAAGATTTATTTATTTGACAGAGTGAGAGTGTAAGCAAGGGGTGAGACAGAGGGAGAGAGAAAAGCAGACTTCTCACTGAGCGTGGAGCCCAGCATGGGGCTCTGTCCCAGGACCCTGAGACGAACCTGAGCTGAAATCAAGAGTTGGATACTTAACCGACTCAGCCATTCACGTGCCCCTAAATAAATAAAATCTTTTTTAAAATGGTGGAAAAAAAGACAATTTGGTGACATAGAAATCCTGTGATTTTTTAAATTTCGGTGGCCGTACTTGCAGCATGGTTCGCGGTGGCACTCGTGTTGCTGGGCAGGGCTGAGGAGTTAGGTCAGAGCCAACGTGCAGTCCCACGAAGCGGACGCCTGCAGTCCTGGATGCTGGTCTCGCTGTGCTCAGACCCTGCGCATGCCCCCGCTGTGTCGTTTATGGCACGGAGTGTGTGCAGTGTTCATTCCCGGAGGTCCTGGAAGAGCAGGGCAGGTCGTGCTGGACTGCCTCCTCAAGCACCGGGAGCACTGTGCTGAGCGAGGCTCGGGGTTGAGGCTTGACGGTCCCGCATCTGTTCTCTCACAGTGTGCAAATTTAAGGCCCACAAGCGGTGTGCAGTGCGTGCAACCAACAACTGCAAGTGGACCACGCTGGCCTCCATCGGGAAGGACATCATTGAAGACGAGGATGGGGTATGCATGGGGGAACCTGACAACCCTGCACCGACCCTCTCCCCCTCATGCTGGTGTCGGGGCAGGGGGCCCTCCGCCCCCACTGGCCTGTGCTCACTTCTGCTGCTCTCACTGGGTGTGGGGGGCTCGGCATGGTCCACTGCGCCTCTCAGCCTGGCCTGTCCCTGTGAGTCGTGCTGTGCCCACCGGCAGCAGGAGTTGGGTGCCGGGCAGCATGCTGCAGACCCTGCCCTCCCCCTGCTTATGTCGGGGAACAGGTCTTCGTTGAGTTATTCCAGAGCGTTTTCGCATAAGGGCTTCCTGGCCTGTGTGTGGGGCTCTGGGACGTCCCTAGTGCACATGTCTCTGTGCTTTGCAGATTGCCATGCCGCATCAGTGGCTGGAAGGAAACCTGCCCGTGAGTGCCAAGTGCACAGTGTGCGACAAGACGTGTGGCAGTGTGCTACGCCTGCAGGACTGGCGCTGCCTCTGGTGCAAGGCCATGGTGAGTGGGCAGGCTGCATGGGCCTGGCACCTGCTCCCTGTGCGTTCTCAGCTGGTCCCGAAGTGCCCACTCCCGCAGTGGCTGGGAGTGTTCCGGGGGATGCTGGTGACCCCTGTGATGTGTTTCAGGTGCATACGTCCTGTAAAGAGTCCTTACAGACCAAGTGCCCGCTGGGCCTGTGCAAGGTGTCGGTCATCCCACCCACGGCGCTCAACAGCATCGATTCTGACGGTGGGTGCCTCGTGCTCTCCTGGCTCACCCAACATTCTCCCCTTCCCTGCACGAGGATGGGTGACACTGGCGATTTGGGGATGATGTCGGGAAGTGGTCAGGCATGGCGGCTGGGGCGAGAAGACGTGCACAGAGGTGGTAAAGGAGTCTGGTGGCCGTTGAGCACCCTTGGACGGGAGCTGGTGCACTGTGCTCTCCATCTGCTGGCTTCCATCGGGCAGCAGATGTGAACCAGCATGCTCACCTGCACCTGCTCCCCGTCTAGGTGGTAGATGACGGTGTGTATTCACAGGCCTTGGTAGAAGGTGGGAAACTGGGGTATGGATCTTAGGAACTAGCTCCTCCAGATTGAGAGCAAGAGGGAAGGACAGCAGTGAGGTGCATGGTCTTTCTGAACTTGAGTCATGTAAGCACAAAGTCAAACTGCCTGGGACCCCCATCCTTTTCCATGGGGAATGGGGCTGGGGAAGTTTGTTTCTTGATCTCTCTGGCTGGTGACTGGGCATGCACGTGGAAGTTACAGGTCTCTTGCAGGTGTTGGCTGCTTTTTTATATGATGGGGCCCCTGCTGGGCTTTTGGACAGCTTTCTCATTTTTCCCTCTCCCTTTCCATCCTCACATCCAGGCTTCTGGAAGGCCACGTGCCCTCCATCCTGCACAAGCCCACTGTTGGTCTTTGTCAATTCGAAAAGTGGCGACAACCAGGGTGTGAAGTTCCTCAGAAGATTCAAACAGCTGCTGAACCCTGCCCAGGTCTTTGACCTCATGAACGGAGGACCACACCTTGGGTAGGAAGCTTATAAAGTCGATCTTTCTTGGAGTTCTAAAAACGTTTGAAGATAATGCATTGCTCGTGAACAAAATGATTCAAAGATACAGACAAATTTAAATAGGAAATAAAAATAGTCCCTGTTGAACAATGAGTAGAGCTGCTTGTCTCTCTAGCTTTCACGTGTGTCTTTCAGTCGTGCAGACACACTTTGAAATTGGTTCCCTCCTGTTATCTCCTATCACAGCGGCCTGCTCCTCGCGTCTGTCAGCATGGGCGTGTCCTCACGCCAGCCATTACAGGTCCTCTCGTTCTTGTAGTGGAGCCTGGGATTGAGGAGCCCGTGTTTCTCCAGTGAGGCCCCCAGGGAGAGTCTTCATCTGGGGGGGACACAGGAGGTCTCTTATCTCACGGGTACCCTGTATTTACAGGGCCCATGATGTGTGCAGACATGTGAAGCCCAGAGTGTGTGGCAAAGTAATTAGGCCTTTCTCTGTTAGCTGGGGATGTGAGGTGTGTTCTTTTTCCTTTTGTACATTGTATAGTTTGTGGAGAACATTTGCTGCTGTAACGAACGGTTAGCTTCCTTGCTTGGCAGCACCAGTTCAAGGTAGGGCTCTAGGAGGTGGCCTTGCCTGGAAGGGAGATTGTCCAGGATATTTGCTGTGGAAAGAGCTTTCAGAATGTGTTCTCTGGTGTGTTTTGGCCTCAGAGGCTCTTGGGAGTGTGTTGTTCTGGAGCCAGGTGTTGCTGGAGCAGGAGCTTGAGCCACTCTCAGGGGAAAGGAGCATGCCCGCTGGCGCCCTAGGGGTCTGGCAGGTCGCTTTTCCTCATGGGCGGCAAGGCCCCGCTGGGAAGCAGTCATGGGTGGCAGCTTGCCGGCCTGGTCCTCAGAGGCCACACTCCACGCATTTCTGCACATGGACTGCTCAACTGTTGGTCTGTGTGTGGGAGCACATTCACTCTTGGTTTGAGAGTCTTAAAAAAAGAAAAAGTCATTTTAGTTAAAAAATGGAACCAGTGGTGGGATCATCATAAGCCTTTGTATCCCAAACTGGGCCTGTAGACGGCGGGGCCCCAGGTCGTTGGGTGGGGCCTGTGGAATGGGTGGGGCAGGCCCTGCAAACCCCCACCCTGCCCTCTGCAGTTGGCCCTAGGAGTTCCCTGGGGACCAGCCCCCTGTGGGAGCCCCCGCGGAGATGCCGTGGGTGTTGGTTTAGTAAGTTCCCGTTTCTGGGAAGCAGCCTTGACCTCCTGCAGTTCACCACAAAACTTGGAGGCCCTGCTTCATTTTCCTGGTTCCCGGTCTGGATGTGTCCCATCTTCTCCAGAGAAGGAAGGCCTGAGAGAGACCAGTGTTCACAAGGGAGCATACGTGGCCATTTTTCGCACAACCTGAAGGTCAGGTGCAGTCTTGTTGCTTCAGGCCCTCAGCCCTGCTGATAGCCTCAGTTTTGTGCTGTGTCACTCATCCCTGTTTGTTTTGTGAGGGCTTCCTCCGGCCAGGACTCTGTGCCAGATGCAAGAGCAAGTAAGGTAGGGACCTTGTTTTCAGGGTGCCCAGTACACAAACGGGTAGTCGAGGTCACAGGACAGGACAATCTGTGGTGTGAACAGGGCTATGTACAGATTGCTTAGGAGCCCAGGGAAGGGGCATACAAATGAACTGGAGAGTCTCTCAGTCTCTCTGCTGAGCTGGCACTGGAGAAGAGTTAGTGTTCCAGTGGCACAGAGGGAGGCGGGCAGCCTGGTAGGCAGAGGGCGCTCGTGTGCAGAGAGGTGAGGACACGGTGGGGTGGCTGGGAGAGCTGTGGAGCTGGGACAGGTAGCAGGCAGCTCCGGGCTGAGAGGTTTGAACATTCACTGGAAACAAGTGGCAGCTTTTTTTTTTTTTTAGATTTTATTTATTTATTTGACAGACAGAGGTTATAAGTAGGCAGAGAGGCAGGCAGAGAGAGAGAGAGAGAGAGAGGAGAAAGCAGGCTCCTTGCTGAGCAGAGAGCCCAATGAGGGGCTGGATCCCAGGACCCTGGGATCATGACCTGATCCGGAGGCAGAGGCTTTAACCCACTGAGCCACCCAGGAGCCCTCAAGTGGCAGCTTCTAAAGCTAGACAGGGTGCCTGGGGAGCTCATTCAGTTAAGCATCAAACTCTTGATCTCAACTCAGGTCTTGATCTCAGGGTCGTGAGTTCAGGCTCCATGTTGGGCTCCCTGCTGGGTATGAAGCCTATTTAAAATAATAAAGCTAGGGGCGCCTGGGTGGCTCAGTGGGTTAAAGCCTCTGCCTTCGGCTCAGGTCATGATCCCAGGGTCCTGGGATCGAGCCCCGAGTCGGGCTCTGCTCAGCAGGGAGCCTGCTTCCCTCTCTCTCTGTCTGCTTGTCATCTCTGTCTAATAAATAAAATCTTTTAAAAAATAATGATAATAAAGCTAGACACTCAGCAAGACTTTTGGGAAGGTCATGCTGGTGGCATGAATTAGAGGGGTCCCGAAGGAGATGTGAGGTAGGGAGGAGGCTGCCATTCTCTGAGGAAGGAAGCTTAGGTCGAGGAGGTGCCTGTAGAATATGGAGTGACATGTTCTTGTAGACGGGTGAAGTGTTTTCCTTCAGGAAGGCCTGGAGGACATCATTCAGGGTCATTGGTATCTGTGTGGTCCCTGAAGCCAAAACCCGAAGAAGGCCTGTCAGGAGGAGGGTCAGGAATGAGCAGAAGGCTGTGGTGTTCTGAAGGGACATTGCCTATAGCAGGTGCCCAAGAGGAGCACAGGAGGGAGATGGAGACAGATTTGAGGGGAACTTGATGGATCTCACACCTGGGAGGGAGGGGCAGTAGTAGCCTAGGGCTCCTGAGCTATGGGAGTGGGCATAGAGGCATGGGTGGGTAGCCCAGTGGGCTGAGCCTGAGCACACCTGGGCTCTGGCTCCCAGAGGCCTATTCACAGTGGGGACACAGGTCAGCCGAAAGGAGTGCAAATGGGGCCTTTTGGCTCCGGACTTGCTGACCATCACTTGTCCTTTAGAATGGACCTCATTTCTTTGACATTCTCTTTTCTCTGCAGCTTACGCTTATTCCAGAAGTTTGATACATTCCGGATTCTGGTTTGTGGTGGGGATGGCAGTGTTGGCTGGGTTCTCTCTGAAATCGACAGCCTCAATCTTCATAAACAGGTACGTGGCCATGTAGGGGCCCAGCCAGGGGAGAGTGATCCTCTGGTTCCGTGATGCTCCTTGTCCCCTTGGCAGGGTGTGGCGAGGGTCTCAGAGGGAAGAGCGGGCAGCCTGATGGCATCACAAGGCTCAGGAGCTGTGCTGTAGGAATGGGAACATCACAGTTAGAAGTGAAGGGAGCTACGAAAGAAATTCCAGTCCTTGGAGGTCCCAGGCAGGAGCAAGTTGGGTGGGACTGCCATCCCACGGTGCCCCACTGGCTTCTGTTGGGTAGTGGTAGAATCTGCTGCTCGCGGGGAGAGAGCAGAAGTAGACGAGAAGGTTAGGTCACAGGGTTCACTGGACTTAATGTCTTTCTTTGTTTTTTTTTTTGTTTCTTTTTGTTTTGTTTTGTTTTGTTTTCATTGCTATTAAATTAAAAATAGATTTTCCTGTTTGGAAAACAAAAAAAATGTTCATTGATTTTCCACTTTGCTCCATCATCCTCATTCCCCACCCCTCAGCATTAACCACTGCCACTAACATTTCAGTGACTCTCTTTCAGACCTTCTGTCGACATGTATATATAGTGTAAGATATGATGCTGTTTTAATTTAAACAGATTCACATTACCCATGGTCCTGTTACTGTGTTTTGCCTTGTGCCGCTCATCAGTAAATAGCCTTGTGATGGTTTTCCATTGGCGGAGCCGTGTGGCCCAGGTTGTCTTGCCTCCCTGCTCTTTGCAGGCTGAGGTTGCTCTCCTTCGGGGCTGCGCCAGTTTCCCTTCCTGATGCTGCAAAAGCTGTCCCTTCCCCTTCACTGTCTGTTGCTTATCTTCTTAGTTTTACCTAAGTAGACAGAAAAGGTAGGCTTGATTTTTATTTCTTCAATACTGATGAAGTCAAACATCTCGGTTAACTATGAATTTTTAGATGAATCAGGTGTTCATGTTTTTTGCCTAGTTTTCTGTTATGATATTTACCTTTTTAAAACATTTGATTTCTAAGAATTATTGTTGTATTAGGAATATAAATTTCTCGTTGGTCCTATTTTTCCTAGTTTGTCATTTGCTTTCAACATAGGTTTTTCAAATCTTCGACCTGACTTGGGCATGTTTTTCAGAGATGTAGCCTTGTCTCCTCTTAGTGTTGCTGGTCTTAGTAGGTGGGTGGACTTTCTGTTGTCTGTGGTGAGCCCTGGGCCTGGGGATGATGCCGAGAGGTGGCCCATCTGAACCCGGCCTGGGCAGGTGGACTGCTCCGCTCAGGCACATACTGCCCCCTAGTGGTGAAGGTGGACTAGTACACTTGGGTCCAGGATTATTTACAAAATTCATTATCAGGAGTCAGGAAGCCAGGGAGGCCAGTCATCTGTTTACATCCATTCGGCTGAGTTCACTGAGCATCCATCTTTGGCTTCTCTGTGGCACTTGGTCCTGGTCATTCCCCCAGTTGCCTGGCTTCCCTGAGATCCCACCCTCACCCTTTCTCTGTTTCTCTTTTTCCTGGCTGCTCTCTGGCCTGCTTCCCTGCCTCAGAGTGCCTCAGGCCTGGCATTTTCAGCACAGAGCCTACTGCTCAGCCCTACCCAGCCTGCATTTCTTTCCCTGGAGTCTGAAAATACTGTCCACCAGACATCTAAGCCAGAAATCTGACAGTCGTTCTGGATTCTTCCCTCACCCTCCCTCATGTTGTAGTTAATCACTGGCATTACACTCCAGTGTCTAGGCCATCTCCTGTGTGCTGCCGAGTACATTTCACCTACCCCGGGCCTCTGTCCATCTAGGCCTCTGTCTGGCTGCTCCTCATTCAGGGCCTTCCCCACGGGCAGTTTTGCACACTCACTCTCATTCATTCTAACTGAGCGTTCTTTGGTGGCTCCTTGGCTTTCGGATAAAGTTCAGACTTAACACAGTTTATTGGAGCTCCTGGTGTGGCTCCTTCATCTCTGTTTCTCTAACTTCCTCACTCCTGATGGGGCAGGTGGGTCACCTCTCCATCCGGAACACCACTGTGTCTTCAGTGTGAAGCCTGCTCCTTTTCTTTAAGGCTCTGGCACCAGGTACTCCCTGCATGGTGTGCTGGGCCTCCTCGTCCTTGCAGAGGACCAACTGTGCTTCCACACGCTGCATGTGGAGCTGAAGGCTGAGTTCTTGGGCATCCAGCATATAGGGAGCTCTCTGAGCCCCAACTGGCCCGGTGAGAGTTCCAGCTGGAGGGCCAGACCTGAGCAGTGCACACTGTCACTCTGGGGAGGGTCAGGTGGAAGGCTGGAGGCCGAATGCAGGGGCGTGCTCAGGTTTGGTGACTAGACTGTTAATGTCCTGGCTCCTGGTTTTTTTTTTTTTTTTTTTTTTTTTTTTTTTTAAGAAACATATAATGTATTTTTAGCCCCAGGGGTACAGGTTTGTGAATCGCCAGGTTTACACACTTCACAGCACTCACCATAGCACATACCCTCCCCAATGTCCATAACCCCACCACCCTCTCCCTCCCCCCTCCCCCCGGCCACCCTCAGTTTGTTTTGTGACATTAAGAGTCTCTTATGGTTTGTCTCCCTCCCAATCCCATCTTGTTTCTTTTGTTCTTTTTCTACCTCCCAAACCCCCCACATTGCATCTCCATTTTCTCATATCAGGGAGATCATATGTTAATTGTCTTTCTCTGATTGACTTATTTTGCTAAGCATAATACCCTCTAGTTCCATCCACGCCATCGCAAATGGCAAGATTTCATTTCTTTTATGCTGGTCCCTGTTTTTGATAGGACTTAGAAGCCAGGAGTGAAATGACACTAGTGATGTTTTTGGAAGCTGATCCTGGCATTAGTGAGTAAGATGTAGTGGATAGAAAGGTAGTGAGGGAGCTCAGAGAATGATTCTCTATAGAGAAAGGGACAGGATTGTGGCCAGAGCCGTGAAAATGGGAAGTAAAGGAGTTTCGAAAATTTGTATCAGAGAGATCGTAGAGGATTAAGTGTCAAGATGAGAAATGGGTATGGGAGAGGGCTCAGATGGTTTTGTAATCTCTCAGCTTAGAAGACCCTCGGTGGTCTCCTGTGGGCTCTGCCTAGATTATGGGAGCCCACCCATCTTAGAGGAGAATCTCACTGAACTGAGCTGCCTGTGTAGGTAATGAGGGTGTTTAATGCTGTGTCTTCCCCCTGTGTCCTGCCAGTGTCAGCTGGGAGTGTTGCCCCTTGGCACAGGGAACGACCTGGCTCGAGTGTTAGGCTGGGGCTCAGCCTGTGACGACGACACCCAGCTCCCGCAGATCTTGGAAAAGCTGGAAAGAGCCAGCACCAAGATGCTGGACCGGTGAGTGGTGGGCGTTCTTGTGCCACACAAGGCAGGTCACCTTGACCAGGTGTGCTCAGTCTGGACTCCCTGGAGAACGTAGGTCCTATGCACCCGTTTGTAGAAATTGGACCTGAATGAGAATGATTGAATCAGTGTTTGCACCTGAAGCTGATATGAACACTGGACGAGAATTACACTTTGGTAAGAAACAAGAAAGAATCAGATCTGGGATGTAAATCCCTGCCCTGTCACTGAGAGTTGCATGAACTTGAGTATTTTACTCAGTCTTGCTGTGTCTTAGATTCCTTGTTAGGAAAAGAAGAAAATCCCAGCTACCTTGCGGGGGTGTTGAGAGATGGAGAGTTAATTCATTTGGTAAATTCAGCTAGAGTTTGTTGAAAAAAAAATTACACCTGATTAGGAATTCTTTTATTCTGGTAGTTTCTAACTTTTCATCAGATTATGCAGAAGGTAAAAGCAACCAGAATAGGTGAGGAACCGGGCCCGTGTGCTCGGGTACGGGGAGGCCTTGGGGTGTTGGAGAGGGTGGCTCTGCCCCCTGCGGACACTGTGAGCAGTCAGCCTTATCACAAGGCAGAGCAGTCTCGTTTCTCCACGTTCTGTTCCCAGAACAATCTGAGTTCTGGGTAATTGTCCTGGGTAAATTTAAAAATACTTTGGCATCCTTTTTGAGTGAGCTACTTTTAGTTCTGAGCTAGAAGTAGGAAATCCCACTAAGCACATGCCTGTGGGAAATTGGTCTCCCTGAAAACGCTTCATGGTCTTGGGAAGGATCCTGCAGTTGCGATTGGCAGTGTGATTTTGAGCACACTCTGGCTGCCCCTGCTGTGTCTTCTCTCTTTAAGGGCAGTGTCTGTGCCTTTGGAGCCTGTGAAATACTCACACCTGGGGAGCTGGCTGCTGGCCGGGTCGGGGGGGTTGTTGGGGAGGTTTAGCATTCTGCAGAAGGGGAGCCCTTCTCTCACAGAAGCAGGTGTTCCTTCCTGGGATCCCTTTCCCCTCCTTCAGGAGGGCTGTATGCCTTACTGGTTGTGACGCTTGTTCTCAGTTATGGGCCGCAGAGTGGAGAGAAAGGGCTTCCAGATAAAGTCAGAGTGTTAGCTTCCCAGGGGCTGGGCTGACCTGCTGACGGCTGCCTCCCTGTGTGCAGGTGGAGTGTCATGGCTTATGAGACCAAACTCCCGCGGCAGGCCTCCTCTTCCATGGGCACCGAAGACTTCAGTGAGGGCTCTGAGGTATTTGCTGTCACCCCCACCGGGCACCATCTTACCGGCCCACTCACCAGTTCAGGCCTCGTCCCCCGCCCTCCGGTGATGAGCCTCTCTTTAAACGTCCAGCCCGAGGTTAGACCCGCAGAGGTGTGGGCTCAGCCCCAGGTGGCACTGGAGCTGAGTGAATTCCGACTACCTTGTGGGCTTTGGGGTCATCTGGGGGGCTTCCTGGGGTTACTCCAGCATTTGGGGTCCCTTGTGACGACTTAGAACTTCCTGCTCTCACAGCGTACATTCCCGAGACTGCTCCTGTGCGGCCGTCGTCCCCACCAGGCCCCAGGCTCCCTCTCGGGACCCACCTTCTCTAGACCCCCTTCGTCTTGCTGCCCTTGTGGTCAGCCTATGCTAGTTCAGGGTTCAGCTCTTCTCTTCATTTTGTGGGACTTAATGGTTCCCTCAGGGCCTAGATTTTGCCCAGACCGGTGCAGCCCTGGGCACATGGCCGTGCTCCTCCCCCAGGGCAGGTGGCTGCTGGCTGAGTGGAGGGAATGCTCTGCCAGGGGCTGTCTTTCCATCGGGAGGGTCAAGGACAGTGGGCTAGGGCAGCGGTCAGCGAACGACGACCCCCCAGCTCCAGTCTGCCCATGCCTGCTCGGACCTGGCCGACGAGCAAAGAATGGCTTGTACGTTTTGAGGAAGAACACAGACTGCAAAGTCTGAAATAGTGACTGTCTGGCTGGCCCTGGGCTTGAGCCTCAAAGGTTTGTCACATGGTAACCCCCGTTAGCAGGCGGAGGGGAGTGGTGACGGGGTCCTTTACACTGAGAGGAGAGGGGCCAGGGCCAAGTCCTGACCAGAAAGAGAAATGCGTTGTCCACTGGGAACGGAGCCTCAGTTAAGGGGGCTTGCCTGTCCGCCTCGCTGCCGTGAGGCCCCAGGATTGAAGACTGCAACTCCCAGCGCGGGCTGGGGATGTGTAGTCAGACTGAAGTGGCGCAAGCTCTCTGCGCTTTGGCTCCACGTGGTCTTTTTTGTTAAAATCTGTCTGTTCCCAGCTTGAGGAAGCTTTGAAATCTTTCAGCCGCACTGGCAAATCTCAGGTTGGCGCGTGAAGGAAGCAGATGCCCCAGGCTAGCCGGGGACGAGGGTGAGTGTGCTGTGAGCTTCCGGTCATGCCTCCCTGTCTTGGGGTAACTGTAGGTGCAACAAATTCTCTTCTATGAAGACTCGGTCGCGGCCCATCTTTCTAAAATCCTGACGTCCGACCAGCACTCGGTGGTGATCTCCTCAGCTAAGTGAGTGCCCGGCAGCCTCGGGGGAGCCAGGGATCAACCTCGCAGGGCGCCCGGTTCCCAGGCAGAACTTGCCCTGGAAGTGTCTTTCCACGTTTCCTCCCACAGAGTGCTCTGTGAGACGGTGAAGGACTTCGTGGCTCGGGTGGGAAAGGCCTACGAGAAGACCACCGAGAGCTCGGAGGAGTCAGAGGTCATGGCCAAGAAGGTTTGTCCCTGTGCCCCTGGGCAGGAGGGTGTGGGACAGAGAAGCACTCCGCCCCATTCCGTTTGTTTTCCGCCAGTGCTCTGTCCTGAAAGAGAAGCTGGACTCTCTCCTCAAGACCCTGGATGATGAGTCCCAGGCCTCTTCCTCCCTGCCCACCCCGCCCCCCACCATTGCGGAGGAGGTGGAAGATGGAGATGGGGCGGGCAGCGGCTGTGGCTCCACAGGGGACCGCTCGGTGGGGTCGGCATGCCCTGCCCGGCCGCAGATATTCCGTCCTCGGGAACAGCTCATGCTCAGAGCCAACAGTCTGAAGAAAGCCATCCGTCAGATCATAGAACACACGGAAAAAGGTAGTGGGTCTCTTAATGATGAAGTAGCTTTCTTCAGTAAGCACTGGGCACTCTGTTTTCCCCCAGACAGGGTGACAAGCAGGAATCCACCATGTAGGTCACAGCCAGACCCCCCAAGGTAACTCGCAGCCTGTGTGGTGGCAGCACCACATATCCGAGAGCATGCTGGGGAGCATTCTCTATCCTCACCACACTTGTATCTGATGGAAGGACCAGAGGGAGCAGAAAGTAGAGGGCAGAGCAGGACGGTGCCTCCAGCAGGGGAAGATGTAAACAGGTCCTTGGGGACCTGTCCCTAGAAGGGGCCTGGCCTGCGCTAATTGCGGGCCCTTGGGTGCAGCTTGGCAGAAGCAGGCAGTAGCAGCAGATGTGGAGGGAGCCTCTCCAAGGGGAGGTGGGGCTGCCCCTGGGGTGGGGAGTGTTCTGAGAAGAGCCTCACACTTGGAGCGGAGGAGCTCTGAGGAGGCCCTAAGGCAAGGGGGGAGGCCTGGGAGAGGTGGGCCTGGCCCTGGGTGGTGGGTGAGGCTATCAGCTGAGGTCTGGAGAGAGGGGCTGGCACAGGGCACTGCTGTGTCGAGGAGTGGGAGGCCAGGTTAGTGCGAGGTGGTCAGAGCTGTGGGGGGCTCTGAGGGGTCTCAGGCTGGGTCAGCCGCTGTGTCCCAGGTACTTGGGACCTGGTGGCCAGGCTGCTGACTCTCCATGATGAGCCTGGGGACAGTGGGTAGGCAGACCATGTTGGATTAAAGACTGTGCCAGCTCGTTGCTCCCTTTTTCTAGACTTGGTTTCTAAGCTTTGAAGGGAACACTGCAGGTGCAGGGTGACCTGTGGACTTCTTGCGTCCAGGCTCCCTTGCACTGTGTTGTCCTCAGTCAGTGTGCTCAGAAACCCTCAGAAACCATTTCACCGCACTCCCATTCACCCCAGCCCCTTCCCAGCAGACTGTCCTCCTTGTCCTTCAATGAGAAGCATGGGTTGTGACGCCCTCCCCACTCCCACTGCTGTGTGTTGCACCAGCCCTGCTCCTGGCTGACGGTTGGTGGAGGCCCAGTGTGCCCTCATTCTGCTCGCCTTCTCTACATCTTCCAGCCTCTTGGCTCTCCCATTTTTCCCAGCCTGGCCACGCGGATGCCCAGTGCCTGGCGTTCTTGCAGGTCTGGGAGAACAGTGGGGACAGGGTGGCTGCTTTGGGCTGTGAGCTGAGAGGACGTCTGAAGAGAGCTCATGGAGGCGAGGAGGGGAGCCCGTGTTGCGCAGGAGCTCTGCTGCCCTGCGCCGTCCATGTGCTCTGCCGTCGCGTGCTCAACTGCGGGTGTTCTTTTCTTGCACAGCTGTTGACGAGCAGAACGCCCAGACCCAGGAACAGGAGGGGTTTGCTTTGGGTCTCTCTGAGTCAGAGGAGAAAAAAGACCTGAAGTCAGATGACAGAGTGTGTCCCACCGAGAGCTGCGGGGTTGCAAAGGGCAGGAGCCTCCGCAAAGGTACCAGTCAGTCCTGGTGACCCCATTGCTGTGGTTGGGCCCCTGCCACAGTTGGGAAGTTTTAGGTGCCTTCTCATAATTGCTTTAGCCACTTGGCACTGTAAAGTCATGAACACACAGCCTGTTTCCATGCACCACCTCCCTTGTCTGGGGAGGGTCCAGCAGGACCCCCATCGGAAGGAGTGTGCTTTCCTCAGAACCTGCCCATACACCCCAGACCCAGGCTTAGGCCTGTGGGTCCTCTTGGTGCACCAGAGGTTCCAACCCAGGGCAGGCACCCCTGGCTGCAGCCAGCCAGACACTGTGTGCCTGTGCAAGTTACTCCAGGCCAGGCTGCCTGGCATTCTGGCCAGGGTACCTCCTAGCTCTGTGGGGTGTCTGCCAGGGGACCCTTATTTCTCCCAGAGCAGCCCCGCAGCCCAGGCTGTTGCTGTGGAGAGGTACTGCTTTCTGCACTATGTGTAGCCCCCTCCCTCGGAGCCTGTACACCTGCTGGGAGGTGTCTGCCTAAGCATTTTACTCAGTGACCGTTACTGCTCTGAGCTCCACACTGCCCATGCACGGACGCCCACAACCCAGACTGTGACCCGGAGTCAGCCGGGCCTTCCCATCCCAGTCTTGGCAGCACCTCTGTCACCCTCCAGATGGCACCCAGACCCACTTACCTCTTGGGCCTCTTCCCATTTCCCCTCTTCTCTCCTGGGCCGCTTGATTTGTCTTATACACTCTGCCAGGGGCTGACCAGGGGCTGATGACCTTCCCACTCCCCCCAGCCCTTATGACAGTCGTTTCTCTAATGACTTCTCCCAGTGCTTCAGTGATGTTCTATTTTGGATGGTTTTATGGCTTTCTGCTCTGTTTTTGTAGTGTCCAAATCCCCATGTGAGAAGCTGATAAGCAAAGGAAGTTTGTCACTGGGCAGTTCTGCCTCTCTTCCTCCCCAGTCAGGAAACCGGGATGGCCTGCCAGCCCTGAACACCAAGATCCTGTTCTCGAGTGAGTGTCCCCTGCAGGCTGGCTGCGTGTGTCTGTGGGCCGGTGCAGGTGGGGCGCTAACCTGCCCCCTGGCAAGGTCAAGGCCTGTCGCTTTGCCTGGCGCTGAGTCTGGGAATGAATGAGACCAGGTCCTTGTCCTATGGGACCAGGGCCTTGTCCTTCAAGAGTTTATATATAGGTCTGTGGGAAACAGAGATTGGGTTTCAGAGTTATGTCATGGCGTGTACAGTCCCTTTACTTATCATAAAGGACAGCCAGCACCGAAATCGCTGCCTGAGGCCTTGGGAAGATGTCATCAAGGGGGTGATCCTTGAGCTGTGTCCTCAGGGATGACTAGGAGTTATCCTGAGTGAAAAGGGAGGACTGGGTAGGGTGTGATGGGGAGCCAGTCGAGTCATCCTGTCATTTCTAGCATGATTGTAGAAGGCACTACTGGCCACCAGGGGAGTATGTCTCTGGCTCTGCTTTCATTTTGCCTAGGTTAGGGTCGAGGTAATCTTCCCTCCAGAGGGACTGTGGCTGTACTCTGTGTCTGCAGAAGGAAGGAGTAGCACAGGGGGTTGAGGTTGCCAATAAGAGGCCCCTGACCAACTTCCTGAGGCCTCCTGGGCCCGGCAGAGTGCACGCTACACCATCTGCTCCCATAAAGTGATTTGGTAATTTCTAGATGAATCTCAACTGAACAGAGAGAAAATTCCAGAAGTCCATGGGAGATGAGGCTAACAAGATATATTTGGTTCATCAGAGGCATAATTGTCACCAGAAGGGGTTAATTGGCAGGATGTCTAAAATCAGAGCTTCGTTTCTGCCTTAATGTTTATAAGTTAAAATTTGTAAATTGGAGCAGGTTCCTTGGGGGTTCTGGTCACTTGGGGTGTTCCCTGCTGTACGATTCAACGTTTAGGGTTACTTTTACTGAGAGATTATTTCGGGGGAGCTTCTCACGTGTAATGAGAGCTTTGTAAACTCTTCTTTACCGTGTCTCCAGGTGGTGGTTTCTGCCACCCGGTGAGTTTGTTTTTGCTCTGTGAATAGCGATTTATAATGGTGATTTTTGATCTGAAATACTTAATTGTCAAAATTTGGATCTGTTTATACGTCCTTTAGAAATAATTTAATTGCAGTAATGTTTTGAAGAATATGTGTTTCTTAGTCTGGAAGACGTGAGCTTCTCTTAATTCAGTGAATCCTGACTTACTCTCTTCCCGTTTCCTCCTTACAGATGTGCGGGCTGGGATGTCTGGTTCCTTGCCTGGAGGTTCTGTCATCAGTCGCTTATTAATTAATGCTGATCCCTTTAACTCGGAACCAGAAAACCTGTGAGTATGGGGTAGACCAGGAGAGCATGTTGTTAAAGGAATGTTGGAGCGCAGAAAACAGATTTGGAATTGGCTGCAGGAATTCATGTACAGTTGACTAGGTGATCCTTTTCCAGCTTCGTTAGCTGATAAGGAAAACTCGGAAATTGTGATGCCTCTGCTAAGTGTCTGGTTGGAAACTTCCTGTGACGGGTGTAGCCTATCCTGGCTCATCCCAGCTTCCCGCACGGGTCCTGCCTCAGTTGTTCCGGCACATCCCCCGGGGTCTGAGGTTTCAGCAGGTTCAGAAGCTTCTGCTGGGAGCTGACTTGGCCCTTGTTCTTTATTTGTTCCCCAGCCCCCCAGCTGGCCCTGCATTGGCGCCTTGTCCTGACACCCTTCCTTTCCCCGCTCTCCCCTGTTGGTGCTGCAGGGGCCTAGGTTCTGGGGCCAAATCTAGGAGATACTGTCCTGGGTTTGGGATTGCAGGGAGGAAGGCTCTAGGGCCGCCCTGTGGGCTGGTGCTGTGTCCTCTGCCCTGCTGCTCAGGCACTGAGGACTCTGATGCGGCGGTTCTTGTGTGTATGGAGGCCGGTTCTTGTGTCTGGAGACACACGTATTTGAAAACCTGGTTTTCTAAGTTTTCCCTTTTGCTGGCTGATAGCAAGGTCTGGGCGGTGTGGCTGGTGGCAGTGGGTTGAATGTTACTGGCCACATGTGTCTGGTGTGGTGAAGGGCAACAGGAATGTGAAGCTTTGCACTGGCTCGGGGGCTTCAGGAGAGCGGAGCCAGACGTGTGCAGAGCGGCCTTGGTTCAGACACCTGCTGCCTGATGCTGGCCTCGTCCCAGACCTGACACTGCTGTGTGCCTGCCCCTCACCCCGCCATCCTGCTCTGGTCCTCACCCTCCCCAACACCTTTCCTCAGTAAGGCCAGAGCCCAGCCTTCCACGAGCAGTACCCACATGGCCTCCAAAGCTAGAGGCTTCATTTGTTCCTTCGCCTGAGATCACTGAAGTGCCATATCTGGCAGCTTAGGCGTCTGTGTCTTTTCCTCTTGCTCTCTTCATGTAGAGCGAGTCTCACCTGGAGAGATAGGGCGCTCTCCTCCCTCCATGTGGGGTGGCACGTCAGGGCCTGGCTCAGGGGCCCCCAGACTTGTCATTCTGCCTTTGCCTGCAGTGGCTTCCTAGGCCTGGCTGCCTCCCACTTCCCAGGTCCCCGTGCCCAGTTTCTCCATTCTCCTTCCCTTGTCCCCATGCTGTTTTTCTGAATCGGATCCCTCTCTTTTCCTAGGACCTATAAATACTGGTCAGCATGTCATGTGGTCTTTTGCTCAGAAAACAGTTCTGTCCTGAGCTTTGCTCTCACTAAGCTGTCAGGCAATTGGATTAGATGTGTCATAAAAACACATCGTGGGGTGATTGCTTCTCAAAGCAGACTTCAGACACCTGTGAACCTTAAACGTGATGGTGTTCTGACCCCCCAGGCGGTATTCCCTGGGGAGTTTGTGGGGGAACAGCCAACAGGCGTGCCAGGCGTGTACTTTTCTCCTTGCTGTTTTCTCCGTGTGGAGGCTCTGTGCTGCCCTGGAAGGAGAGGAGGGTCCATGGAGCCCTTTTGTGACCCCTGCAGTCATGACGATTGCAGGGGGAGGATGGAGGCTGGGAAGCTGGAGTGAATTGAGTCTTGTCAGTGGCAGACACAGAGAAGGGAGGTGTTGCCATGGGTGCTGGGATAGACGTTTTCACATTTGGAGATGGCTTCGATTGGGCATAGGGATGTTTGAGGCATGTTCTGAGACCCACAGTTGAAGCCGTGGGACTATATGGCTTCACACTGCTGCTGGGGGCGTGAGATGGCGTGGCCGCTCTGGGAAACAGTCTAGCAGTACTCCAAAGCCCTGTTTCTGCGTGACCCAGAGTGCCACTCCCAGGGCCACACATGGGAGGAGGGAGACCGCGTCCACACCAGTGTGTGTATTGGTGCTCACGCATCCCCAGCAGAGTGCTGGCCAGCCATCGGGAGGGATGAGGCCCTGAGCACGGTTGAGCCCTGAAAATGTTATGCTTCGTGAAAGGAGCCAGATGCAGAGGGCTATGCACTGTGGCTTCTACTTCTGTGAAACTTGCAGAGTAGGCACAGCCTGGAGACAGAAAGCAGATTTGTGCTTGCCAGGGCTGGGGAGGGTTTGGGGGCTGATGGAGGAGGAGGGCAGCTTGCTTCTGGGTTGATGAGATGTCCTAAAATGGATGGTAGTGATGATGACTTCATCGAGGAGGTTAAGAATCACCGAGTCCTATGTTCTAAACGGGTAGGTTGGGTGGCCTGAGAGTTCTAGATCAGTACAGCTGCTCCTGAAGAGCAGGGCCTGAGTTTCGCCCTCAGGGAGAAGTGGTTGCAGGTCGGGAAGCTGCCAAGTGACCTGGGATGGTTCTCACTGGTCGGAAACCCCCATTGCAGAGAGTATTACACAGAGAAGTGCGTCATGAACAATTACTTTGGCATTGGCCTGGATGCGAAGATCTCCCTGGACTTCAACAACAAGCGTGATGAGCACCCGGAGAAGTGCAGGTAGGCGGCGGCGTGTGTGCACACCTGCCCTTTGCATCGTCCTCGCTTCTCCCTCCTGGGAGTGAGGTGACTTCTGGAGTCAGCGAGATAGAGGGTGTGCAGAGTGCAAAGTCAGAAGGCGTATGTAAAGCCCGAGTGCCTTGTTGTCTGAAATGGAGGTGCTTTTACGAGATGTGGGTGGAACCAGGTCAGAGTCCAGGAGGCTGGCCTGGAGGAGGTTTCCACCCCTCGGGCTTGAGTGGTGGGGCAATTCCACATGGGAAAGTGAGTGACTGAGTCAGTCAGAGGGTCCAAGTCTCCGGACAGTTGTAAGTTCACGGTGATGCTATAAAGGGGCAGGTGGATACACCTCAGGACTTGCTCTGGTGATCACCCAAGTCGTGTGTAGTTGCAGATTTCTCGGAAAACAGAATCGAGCGTAAGAATTCAGGAAAACTTTGAGCTCTGGGGCTCGTGAAGTAGAGGAGACTGTCTCCGAGGCCCCAGGGACATCTCTGTTTTACAGCTCATTGAGGGTGGTGAGCCCGAATCATTCAAAAGTTCTAGTTAGTTAAAAAATAGCTGAAAAGGGCATTACAGTGCACATAATTTAACAGGGTAAAATAAGTGAACAGAGTCATGCATCATACAGTTTTAGAACCGTGGGACCCTAATAGGATACTCCCTAAGTTTGTAGCAAGAGCTTTGAAAAGGTCTAAGAGGAATTCCATTTCTAGGAATCTATCCTAGAGAAGGAACTGGAAATGTTTGCAAAGAGGTGTGTGCAAAGGGATGACTGCCACGTGATTTACAGAGCCCGGGAGTGGGAAGTGGCTGGGTTCCAGCAACCATGGGGAGTGGGAAGTGGCTGGGTTCCTGTGTCGGTGGGAAGGTGCCCCGCTGGGGTCAGTCCTGCCTCAAGACAACAGGCTGCGGGGCCAAGTGAACAGAGTTGGTCAGGAGACTGTAGACCGGCTCTTTCACCTGTAAGCCAAATACCTTGAGAAGACTGAGGAAGTGCACTGAAGTTTGTCATCATCAGTACATACAGATGTGGGGATTATGAAGATTATTTGCTGCTTTGTGCTTTTCTGCACTTCCCAAATTTTCTGTGATAAGCATACTTTCATAGCTAGAAAAAAAATCATTGGTTTTGTTTTGTTGTTGTTGTTGTTTTTTTTTTTTTTTGGTGAGGTTCTGTAATGTCTGTAAGTTACTTTTTTGGGAGTATTTTTCAGCAGAATTTTCCATCAACAGATGTATTTCTTTATGCATATCTCACACATAAAGAGGAACTGTCCTTCCTCCCCTCGAGGTGTCTGTGCTGCATCTGACCAGCGTGTGACCAGCACCTCGAGGCAGCGACTGTAGCTCCCTGTGTAAAGAGATATGCAATCCTGTCCATTCTTTGCTTTCCACCTGTAGGAGTCGGACCAAGAACATGATGTGGTACGGAGTTCTTGGAACCAAAGAGTTGCTGCACAGAACCTATAAGAACCTAGAGCAGAAGGTCCTCCTAGAGGTGAGCAGGAGGGTCTCCTGCAGCTGCAGGTGCTTGGGCCCGTCTGGTCTCCTCTTAGCCTTTCTCCAACCTGGGTGGGGGCTCCCTTTGCCCTTTTGGTCCCTCAGTGAGAGCTCAGCTGTGGCCGTGGCCTCCTCAGCCCAGCACGGGGGTAAGAGTAGGGGCAGGGAGGATTGCTAGTGAGGAAGGACCAGGTTGATGCCGTGTGTCTTTTTTTCCTTTTTCCGGCATTTCTGCTGCACAGTGTGATGGGCGACCCATCCCACTCCCTAGCCTCCAGGGGATTGCTGTCCTCAACATTCCCAGCTATGCCGGAGGGACCAACTTCTGGGGGGGCACCAAGGAAGATGATGTACGTACTGGGGTCCTGGGTGGCGTGGCCCCAGGTGGGTGTGGGTAATTCCTTCAAGGAGCATCCACCACTTCAGGCCTTGATGGAGTACTCCACCTCTTAGGGGGGCTCTGTTAGTGGTGCAGAGGTATGGATGGATCTCTTCCCCTGTGCTGTCAGTTGGGGTACAGTGGAGAACAAGACAGACAGCTACCCCTGTCCATGAGAAGAGAAGCCGAACAGGACAGATGTGGTCAGGGTATAGGTGTGATGCAGAAGCCAGGCCTGACTCCAATTTGGGGCAGTCTAGGAAGGCTTCTCAGAGGAGGGGACATCTACACTGAGACCTGAAGGAAGACAGGGTTGGCTGGGTCAGGTGAGGGGAGATATGGAGTGGGGAGGCTGTTCTAGGGAGTTGCTGAAACAGTGTATGTGACGGCTCATTGGTGGGATAGGATGTGGTTCGGAGAAGGTCCCTTGACGGTGTGTAGTGAGTGGAATGCAGACAGGTTCGAGCCCATGTAGGGCTGTGCCATCCAGGGAAACTATGCTAAGACCTGTGGGAGGCACTAATGGCCTCTAATCAGGGGCGTAGTCTCCTTCCTACATAAGAGCTAACAGAAATCATGAACCTGAACTACACACTGGAGATGCTCTGGTAGCTGTTGAAAGCACTGGTCATGTGTCACCTCGGCCCTCATAAGAACATACCAGGGTTAGCCCTGGTTCACAGATGACGGGGCCGAGGACAAGAGAAATTAAATGACTTGCTTGAGGTCACGCTGCTAGTCAGTGGCAACTCAGAGATTTGATTCCCAGCAGCTGGTCCTAGAAACCCCCTCAGTAATGCATTTGCCCCACAGCTGCCTCTCAGTTAGGACGCACCACCCCCTGGTAGTATCCTGCCTATAACCAGAGCAGCGGCCTGGAGAGGGAGCACAGAGGGGTGTGCGGGGAAGTTCGGAGCAGAGGTCCGCTCTTAACACTGGTCCTTGCAGACTTTTGCAGCTCCGTCATTCGATGATAAGATCCTCGAGGTGGTTGCTGTGTTTGGCAGCATGCAGATGGCCGTCTCTCGTGTCATTAAACTGCAGCATCACCGAATCGCCCAGGTACCAGCCATGGTCTTGCAAGTGGGAGGGACCTGGGAGGCAGTCTGGCCCGGACATGTTTGGAGAGACAGGGCCTGGGCCAGAACCAGTCTCTTGCCTCAGTGCTCTCCTTGCACAGAGCCCAGAAGAATGGGTGGTTTTCCAGGACCACCCACGGCCCTGCCTCCTGGCCCAGAGCCCTTCCTTACCGGCTGTATTTGACAGTTAAATGACACTCTTTCAGAATTGGGGCCTACTGAATCCTGCTTGAGCTCTCTGCCCTGGCTTTCTCTGTGGGTGCACTGTACCTTCTGTCCCCATCTGTTGAGGTGGGATGAGATGAGAAGGCCTGACCGAACTCGGCCCGAGCCTGCGGCTTTCAGCAGCCACATCCTGAGTTTGGGAACAGAGGCCAAGCAGTGAGCAGTGGAGAAAGCATGGTCTTCCTGCTGCTCTAAGGCCCAGCTGGAGAGGGGAGATAGGAGGAGGCTCCCCTAGTACTTCTTTCTGGTGATGGGTAGGGGAGGGCAGTGCTCTTATGCATAAGGAAGTGGGGAGTTTGATAACCTAGCCCACCCAAACCCCACGCAGTGACTTTCTAGTCCTTCCGACCTCATTCTGCCCCCATGTAGGGTAGGGTGTTTGAATTTTATGATTTTAACTCTTGGGCATTATTTTTTGTTGAAAAGAGAAACAGTGAGTCATTAACCACTTGTTGGGAGGGCTTTACCCTGTTCTGGGAGTGTTTGCCATGTGCACAGGGCCCTGTGGCTCTTGCCGGGCGTGAGTCCCACCCTGGGCCTGGTGCTCGTGCCTGACCACTGAGGTCTCCTCACTGCGGTCTCAGATGCAGTGCTGGGTGAGGGGGTGGCGGGGGTGGGACAGACCCGGGGGCTTCATGAGCTGTGCCCCGGCTGGGGATGCTCTGACCGCAGCGGTGGTTGGCAGCGGGCGTGGTGTCCCCCCAGACATCAGCTAATGGGTGCAGGGGCACATGGGATAGGAAGGCTCCTGCAGTGCTGGGATACAGCCTCTTAGCTCCTTGGTTCCACACGGTGCACGAGTAACGCCTGTGGTGTTTGTTCAGTGTCGCACGGTGAAGATTTCCATCCTGGGGGACGAGGGCGTGCCTGTGCAGGTGGACGGAGAGGCCTGGATCCAGCCTCCAGGATATATTCGGATTATCCACAAGAACCGGGCACAGACACTCACCAGAGATAGGGTAAGAAAGGCTACCTGTGGGAAACCAGAGAGAACACACTGGTCCCAGGGCTCACCTGCAGGCACACGTGTGCGCCTTCTCAAAGAAGGCCTGAGTTTCTAGTGTTTTGTCCTAGGAATTTACTTTTGTTAGACACAGAGTTTAAGGGAACAGGGGTGTAATTTCCAGGACTACTTCCCCTCCTCGGTGTGAAACCAAACTCTGTCTCTCCTTTTCTGGCTGTTGTCCAGCGACTATCCCAGCAGTGTTTGCTGTTGGGCACCTGCTTGCCTCTTGAGAGAGCAGTGCATGGTGTGATGGTGCGTCCTGTGCCCTAGGCATTTGAGAACACCCTTAAGTCCTGGGAAGACAAGCAGAAGTGTGAACTTCCTCGCCCTCCGTCGTTCTCTCTGCACCCGGAGATCCTGTCGGAGGAAGAGGCCACCCAGATGGACCAGTTCGGACAGGCGGCGGGAGCCCTCATCCACAGGTGGGCCCTCGCCTTCCCTGTGCGGTCAGCCTCCTACAGCTGGAGCCCCTGGGCCCTTGACGTCCTCGGGGCTGCACGGTCACCGCTAGGGTGCAGGCGTGGCGTCCCTCCTCTGGGTCACATGTGCCAGTCTGCCTCCTTCATCAGGGCCCAGCTGGGGTTTCTGCGGGCCCTGGGCTTTGGTTCGTTTCTGCTCACTGAGTTGCAGAGATTGCTCGGAGTTCATGTAGCTGGAAGCTTAAAATCCACTGGTGTTGTCACTGTCTCAGGTTCTTCAGAATAGTCCTGTACTGCCTCTACTTCATCCCAGAGAGCAGGTTTGTTACCAAAAAACAAACCCTGTAGTTATTAGGAAAAAAACAAAAACCACCAGTACCCAAAGGCATTTCCTTCTCTTAATCTGCTTTTGAGAAGTGGCTCCTGGAGCCACTGGGGACGACCTTCCGCACGGTGGTCTCCCTCTGCCACTGTCCATTCTCCCCACCTGCCTGGGTGCCGGCTGCCGTTGGGCCTCACTCTGAAAGGGTCGTTCAGCCTTGTGACCTGTGCCCTCTCAGTTGCCAGATCCCTTGACCCTCTTCGGCTGCTGTCTGGTTCTGGTTTTCAACTGTATTTCCCTTCCCTGGTCGTCCCCTGAGGCTGCACACTGGCCCGGTGCTCCTTGACTTTGCCTCTGTGCTGCTCTGTGGCTTCCTCCTCCTCTCCCCTTGCCGGGAGCACTGCCGCCCTGTGGGCTCTAGGCTCTGTGTGCCCTTCTGGGCGGTTCTTCTGCCCTTTCCCCCGGCATCACGCTCTCGGTCTGTGGGTTGGTAGCTCTCTTGGGATTGCTGTAGTTCACTTCTGGTTCCATGCCTCCTTCTGGGTACCCACCCTTGAAAGCATGTCCTGTGCTGTGTCCTCTGTCTCAAGTAGCCGGCACTACTTCTTGCCTCCCCTGCCCTGTGACCAGATCAGTATCCCGGCTTGATGACTTCCCTTCTTACGTTCTTTCTAGTTCCTTGCTGTATAACAGGCTTCTGCTTTTCTTCTATCTCATTCTTGTCCCCTCAGAGTCTGTGCCAGCCCCACAGGTGGGGACTTGCCATCTCATTGCCTTGTTTAAAGTCCGGCAGCTTGGGGATGCCTGGGTGGCTCAGTTGGTTAAGCGGCTGCCTTCGACTCGGGTCATGATCCTGGTGTCTTGGGATCGAGTCCCACATCGGGCTCCTTGCTTGGCGGGGAAGCCTGCTTCTCCCTCTGTCTCTGCCTGCCATTCTGCCTGCCTGTGCTCACTCTCGCTATCTCGCTCCCTCTCACAAATAATTAAGTAAAATCTTAAAAAAAAAAAAAAAAAAAAAGTCCGGCAGCTGCTCCTAGTTTTCCCCAGGGTAGGACAAGTGGTTCCCCATCCTCCTTCCCTGACTTGTGTGCTCCCTCTGTCCCTGGTGCTCTTGCTATGTCTGACCCTGTCACCGCCCCCTATTTGTGTGGGTCCCTCAGGCCAGGGGCTGCTGCCTGGGGCCATGTCCTGGAGTCTCAGCCTCTTGAACCAGGATCATCCTCATAGAGAAAGGTCCTGTCATCCTCATTTATAGAGCAGGGAGGCAAAGTCTCCTTTAAGGAACAATCAGCTGTCTCCACACAACAGGCCTGCAAACCATGCTTCCTGTCAGCTTGCCATTTTACAGGGTATGAGTCTCATTTTGGGTGTTTTCCTACCTGGTTGACTTTCTGGAGAAACTTGGAGTTTGGTATCCCATTTCCCCTCTAAGACCTGCTCTGTTCCCTGTTGGCTGGGCTGTGTCTGTGTTGGCCCTCTGGGCTGGACCGGGCCTGTGTCTGAGCGAGGTCACATGATAGGCTGCCCCTTCATCTGGTCTAATGAGTGCTGTGTTTCTTTCTCTCTAGTATCCGGGAGATCGCTCAGTCCCATCAAGACATGGAGCGAGAACTTGCCCACGCCGTCAATGCCAGCTCCAAGTCCATGGACCGAGTGTATGGCAAGCCCAGAACCACAGAGGTGCCTGTGCTTCTCAGGTTTTGCTCCTCTGGAGTCCTGTAGCTCGTGGGCCTTCTACATGGGTGTCCTTCTGGTTCCTCTCAGGGTCTGAACTGCGGCTTTGTCCTGGAGATGGTGAACAACATTCAAGCCCTGTGCAGGGAGACAGCACTGCTCCTGGCCGGGAGGGTGGCCCTGGTAAGCCCGGGGGGGCTGGCCCGTCACTGGGCATGCACTAGTGCCCACTGTGCAGGCGGCAGCAGGTTTCAGCCTAGAGCTCCTGGCCTTAGGAATTATAGACTCAGTGTGGGAAGGAGCCTTGGAGGTCATCTGATCTGGCCATGTGGTTGGTTCTCCAACCCTCTGGCCATGGCTCAACCACATCATCTCTAGCATGTTAGACTCCTATGGACAGAACCACCTTTGTGGCTATACGCAGAATTCTGCCTTAGAAATCTGCAGGCATGGAGCCGTCTGCCTGTGACCAGGGAGGCAGACTCTGTTCTCAGACATGCTGTGCTGTTGCCGTTCCTCACTTGGCCCTGCCACCCTGGCTGAGGAGTCAGCCCTGCGGAAGCATGTAGGTTGGGTTTCACTGAATTGCAGAAGCTAAAATAGGGAAGACCCGAGGGATGGCCTAGCCAACATTCTTGTTTAAAAAGATGAGTACAGGGACTCCTGGGTGGCTCAGTTGGTTGGACGACTGCCTTCGGCTCAGGTCATGATCCCGGAGTCCCGGGATCGAGTCCCGCATCGGGCTCCCAGCTCCATGGGGAGTCTGCTTCTTCCTCTGATCTTCTCGGTCATGCTCTCTCTCACTGTCTCTCTCTCAAATAAATAAATAAAATCTTTAAAAAAAAATAAATAAAAAGATGAGTACATGGAGGTCCAGGAGGTGGAGTGACTTGCTGAAGATCACACATCTGGAGAACCACCCCAAAAGTCTAGTTTCCGTGTCTTCTATTGTTCATTTCACAGTAGTCTGCTCTTCTGAGTGTGACGGCTGCTCCTTCGCTGCCTCATAGCACTTCCTGCACTCTGGTGCGGGTCTGGTCCTGTTTTCTTTCTGACATAGGGCTCCCAAGGTAAACCCAAGTAGGTCAAGTGTCAGTGCTGCTATTTTAGTTTTCAGACAAGCTTGGTTTTTTCCAGTATTTATGAAAGGAGAGTTTTAGTTCCATGACCCGATTCTTCTTAGAAGGGGAAGTTCTGAATCTGGCCCCTTAGCCAGTGCTGTTTGACTTAGTTTCCTTAGGAATTCTTGTAAGAACTGTCCGAGAACCATCACTTTCCTTGGAGCAGACTACATGCCTGCATGGGGGCTTTGCTGCGGCCCCAGCTCATCACTGCTATTGACCAGCTCTGTCTGTCTTTCCTTCCTGCTTGGAGCAGCAGTTGGACCCCCCTCAGAAAGAGCGGCTTGGAGCTGCTCTCACAGAGATGGACCAGCAGCTCAGGAAGCTGGCGGACACCCCCTGGCTGTGCCAGTCCATGGAGCCTGGTGATGAAGAGGTATGTGGGTCACAGGCCTTCAGCTTGAGCGCCTCTGGGTGCAGTGGCTCTCCCTTCAGTACCTGTAATTACTGTGATCTGTGTAGCTTTGAGGTTAAGATGGTGTCCATCTTGCAGCCCCAGATAAGGCTTCTCAAGACTTCTCTATTAAAACGCCTTAGAGGTATGGAAAGCCTGGCAGGTAGGAAGGAGTTGGGAGTTAGTACTGAGCACAATCCTTGATGACTGGGCACTACCGCCGTCAGAAAGAGAATGGCAGGGCTGGCCTTCAGATAGAGGGCTGAGGCTAGCCCCGCTGTTTGTCCCTGGTGTGAAGACACATTGGATAAATGGCAGCTTCTTGAGTTTGTTGTCGACAGGGACAGAGTTGGTCGACAGGGACAGTCACACTTTTCTTTTGCATGTGTTTAGAGACTCCAGCATGCTTACTCCCTATCACCGGGATAGATAGAACCCTGGGCATGTTGCACCTGGCTTGCCTCCTGCAGCCAGTGAACAGGTAGGAAGAGTCCAGGAGAGGTGCTTGTTGGATAATCAGTTTTGTGGGCAGATCTTGTTAAAGGTGTACTGCAGATTGTCTTTTTTATCAGGGGTAGAACAGAAGTGGGCCAGGAGAAAAGTTCTTCCTAGGGTAGTATACTAGTCTTGCAAGAGAAAGAACTGTTAGACATTACACATCTGGCACCCCTACTGCTAGTTTTGTTTGTTAGAACCTGTTGGTAGTAGTAAGGTGAGGTAGAGAGGAAGGCTACAATAGTCTATCCTGTTCTTCCCTGAAAATGTAGGCATTTGATAACAAATGCAACCTTGCATGGAAGACTAACTCTGAGGCCTTCCAGTGAAACAGCAAAACTCAGTAACTTAAAGTATGAGGATATTTTGGTTTAAAAGGACTGGCTGAGCTCCTCAAACTTAGTTAAATTATTAGCTGTAAATACAAAATTTTCATTTAAGAAAAAATTACTAAAATAATAATATATAGAATATTTAATAGATATAGCAGTAATATAGCTCAGGATTTCCAGATTAAGTTACAAAAGCCTGTGAAGTGGACAGTAGGTGGGGAGGCTGGGAAGAAGACATGGACAGAATGAAGGCACATTAAGGTGGAAGGTTTAAAAAAAAGGATTCTTGACTTTGATAATTAGGGAAATGAAAAGTTAGTAATATCTTTAAAAACTTAAAGGTAGGGGCTCCTGGGTGGCTTGGTTGGTTAAGCGGCTGCCTTTGGGTCAGGTTATGATCCCAGGGTCCTGAGATCGAACCCCACATCAGGCTCCCTGCTCAGTGGAAAGCCTGGTTCTCCCATGCCTGCCATCCCCCCTGCTTGTGCTTGCTGTCTTTCTCTTGCTCTCTCTCTGTCAAATAAATAAATAAAATCTTAAAAAACAAAAACCAAAAACAAAGTTAAAGGTAGTTTCTAGTAGAATTGAAAAGATTTATGTTTTTCCAAATCAGTTTTTCAGAACCAAAAACAACATAATCTACACTATAAAAGAAAATAAGCGACTTAAAAAAAAAAAAAAAGAGAGAGGTAGGCAAACCGTAACAGACTCTTAACTACAGAGAACAAACTGAGAGTTGATGGAGGGAGGTGGGCAGGTAATGAGCTAGATGGGTGATAGGAATGAAGGAGGGCACTCGTTGTAGTGAGCGCTGGGTGTTATATGTAGTAAGTGATGAATCACTAAATTCTACTCCTGAAGCCAATGTTGCACGATATGTTAACTAACTAGAATTTAAAGAGAAACAGAACAAAACAAAACAAAAAAAAAGAAAGAAAAAAGAAGGGACTAGTAAAAATGTAACAACATACAAGTAAGACAACAAAATGATACAGCTTCTCCTCTTAAAAGCAAATTATTATAAGATTGTGTTAAAAAGGAAACCTAACCATATACCAATCACAGGAGTCCAGTTTTCTCTCTCCATCCTCAGTAAAAACTTATGACACAGAAAGATTAAAACAATTTTAAGGAAACAAAAAACTGAAGTAAATTTTAATATAAAAATGTAATATGTGATTAAAACATCACTTTATATTGGTAAAAGATGATTTTATAGTTGTAAGATTTATTTTTGTCTTTTTGGTCTATCAATTACTCTGATCATGAATGTGGAGATCTCAAATTACGTTTGTGGTTTTATTTTTGCTTTCTGTGTTTTGAGGATATGTTATTGGGTGTATATAGGTTTTGTTTTTATGTAAAGACACTCAGTAATTCTATAGTAATTTCTTTTTAAGTTTACTTGTTTGGTATTTTCATTTTCATACTTTTACTTTCAAGCTTTATCTGGAGTATCTCCTTTATAAATAGCATGTTGTCAAATTGAGGTTTTATCTAGTTGGGTACTGTGCATTTTAACTGAGGAGTTCAGTCTATTTATATTCATTGTGATTACTGATCTATTTATCCGTATATTTTGCCATATTTTGTGCTTTGTATTTGTTCTACTTTTTTTGTTTAATTTCTTCTTTTTGATTGGTAAGTCTCTCCTTTCTCCCACACAATTCTCTTTGTACTCTCTAGTATTTTAGAAATGCAAGCTCTCTATTCTTTTAATGACTATCCCCCAATTTTAATTTCAATTAACATAGAATCTGTGAAGGAAAGACTTCCTGAAATGAAAGTGACAGAAACCAAATTATAGTGTGAACCATCACTATCCATCCATGAATAATGAAGTAAACTATCACAGCATGCAAACAAAAGAAAGTTGACAAAATTATCTGTGTGTGTGTGTGTGTGTGTGTGTGTGTATCATGTTTCTCCATTGAGAGAATTTTATATTCTGTAAAGATGGACTATGTTTTTTTTTTTCCCTCTTGCCCATAGGACAGTTTCAGAATTGGATCATGTTTTAGATAAGCACTGATGACAGTGGAAAACTCTTTGTTATTATAGAAATTAAGGGAAGAGTTTAGAAACTTATAAACAATTAATAGAAGAATTTTTTTTCTGTTGAAAATAATAAAAAACTGAGGCTTATACTTTGGATGTCCCTTCTTGGTTTCATTTTTTTAGTGATTTATTTTACTGTATTTTGTTAAAGTATCAGTCCACTATGGAATGGAAATTATTAAAGTTGGTTCCTTTCCAGAAGTGGTTTGAGTAGCATAGTGCTGGGCCACAGGACACCTCAGACACCAACTCAAAGTAGAAATGCCAGCTGTCAGGTGTGGGCTGTGGGCTCCCATGCCCTGCCCAGGGTGGGTAGATTCCTCCTGCATGCAGATTGCCTCTGAAGACAGAGGGAGGGCTAGAATGTTCCTCAGTCCATGGACAGTGTAGCAGCTGCTGCAGTGGGAGACTCGCAGCCTGGTGCCTGGTTGCAGGATGACCACAGTGACTTAGGTTGTTTGGGACTTTCAGGTGTTAGTACTAAAAGTGTCTGTTTCAGGAATTGTGGTTCCAGAGCTTTAAGCCTAAAAATATTTTCAAAACAAGTAGCATCAAATGTCGAGCTACTGCCGAAACAAACCAGCACAAGTCCCTCCTGGATGTCTGACCTCATGAATCCTTCAAGCCATGTCAGTAGTTACCCTGGTTTCTAGAGCTCCTAGCTGTAGGCTGGTGAGATGGTGCAAGGTGACAGGTGAGAAGTTGTACAGATGGTGCCACGGGCAGGTTAGTTGCAAAACCAGAAACCCTCTGGAGCTAGCTGGAGCAGAGCAGGGTGGGGCCAGGGCAGTGTTACTGCCAGCATTGATCCCATGGGACCTCAACCCAGAAACTGCAGCCAGCTGTCCCAAGAGTGAAAGGAAAACCACACGTGCTCTTAGGGGCCTTCTGGGCTGTCCAGGGCTCCTGCCTTCTCCACCTTTCTCTGCTTGCTGCCTCACAGCTCAGCGCTCCCAGCCTCTGGGACCTCTGCACAGTTTCACCCATGCAAGGGGAGAGAGCAAGTGGAAGCTTAGAAGGCATGGTGCCACATTCTACTAGTGTAAAAACAGGACAATGACTTCTTTGAAAGCAAAAAACAAAGTTGTCAAGTTTGTGAGCTAGTTCTTTGAAGTACAGTTGACTTCTTGACCAGTACAGTTTGGACTGTGTGGGTCCCCTTATACAGGTTTTTTTCTGATTAATATAGTGCTGTACTGTAAATGTATTTTCTCTTAGGATTTTCTTAACATTTTCTTTCCTGTAGCTTACTTTTTTAAAAGAATATGGTATATGATATACATAGAGAACTTGTGTTAACTGTTTATGGTATTAGTAAGGCTCTTTGGGGATTCAGAAGTTATACATAGATTTTCAACTTCATGGGTGGGGGGTGGCACTCCTGACTTCAACGTTGTTCAGAGTTTAACTATAAAATACAAGAAATTAAATCACTCTGTGGCAAATATAATCGAGGAAGGTCTGGACAGTATGAAGTGATAAAGGTCATATAACAACAGATAACAGGATAAATCAAGTATATTATTTTCAAAGAAATGTTAATTTAAAAAATCTTGCTAAAACCATTGAAACGTCAGGAAAAATTTAAACTATACAAATTGAGATCTAAAGACATTTATTTGTAAATTATTTTTTAAAAGATTTTATTTATTTGAGAGAGAGAGAGAAAACATGAGCAGGGTGAGGGGCAGAGGGAGAAGCAGACTCCCTGCTGAGCAGGAATGTGGGGCTGATGTGGGGCTCGATCCTGGGACTCCAGAATCATGACCTAAGCCAAAGGCAGGTGCTTAACTGACTGAGCCACCCAGGCATCCCTAAAGACATTTTAAAAAGAATAGCCACAGGACAACTTGAAAAAATAATTATCTCTGAAGGAAAAATGTCAAGGAATATGTAATTCCCCTATATTAGAAACAACATCAAAGCTAGGAAAAGATGGACGTTGGTGCAATTTGTGTTTTAAATTGTGATAAGAAACACACACAATTTACCATGTCTGCTGTTTTTAAGTGTATAGATTAAATAGTATTAAGTAAAGTCACATATTGAGAAGCAAATCTTGGCAACTTTCAAATAGTTCATTATTTTAAAAACTAGCAAATCTGATTTCAAAATCCTGTATTATCAGTAGATCCGCAAAAACAGTTTATTACTGTTTTTTTTTCATCTTTTTTTCTTTTAAGATTTAGTTCATTCGAGAGAGAGAGAGTCACACAAGCAGTGGGAGAGGCAGAGGGAGAAGTAGACTCCCCACTGACCTGGGAGCCCAACATGGGACTTGATCCCAGGACTGGAGATCATGACCTGAGCTAAAGGCAGATGCTTAACTATCTGAGACACCCAGGTGCCCCAAAATTGAAAGCAATTTTTTATAAAAGAATTCCAGGTGGGGAGCACCTGGGTGGCTCAGTGGGTTAAAGCCTCTGCCTTCTGCTCAGGTCATGATCCCAGGGTCCTGGTATCAAGCCCCGCATCAGGCTCTCTGCTCGGTGGGGAGCCTGCTTCCCCCCCATCTCTGCCTGCCTCTCTGACTACTTGTGATCTCTGTCTGTCAAATAAATAAAGAAAATCTTTTTTTTTTTTTAAAGATTTTATTTTATCCATTTGACAGAGATCACAAGTAGGCAGAGAGGCAGGCGCGGCGGGGGGGCAGGAAGCAGGCTCCCTGCTGAGCAGAGAGCCCAATGCGGGGCTCGATCCCAGGACCCCGAGACCATGACCTGAGCCGAAGGCAGAGGCTTTAACCCACTGAGCCACCCAGGCGCCCCAATAAAGAAAATCTTAAAAAAAAAAAAAATTCCAGGTGGAAAGTGCAGAGGGACTGAAAGGCCATTTTGCAACTTCCCCCACCCCACCCCAGGAAGCGCTCGATTTCCGGTGGGTCATCCATGGGTGGCGGCACCTGTGGTGAAGGAAGCTGTTGGCCCCAGAAAGAGGATGGCGGGCCTCACCTGTTGGGAGGCAGTTGCAAGCCTGTGGCATCACTGGCGACAGCGTCCTGTCTAAAGGCAGGAATCTGGATCCAATCCGCGTGGGCAGGGGGTGGGGCGGGCCGTCTTACTGGGCAGGCAGCTGGTTTCTCTGTGGTGAAGGATGAAGCGGGGAGCCCGAGAGCCACAGCAGCTGAGTGTCACTTGTGGCCCTCACAAGGGTCCTGGTTCAGACACACCAGCCATGAGGGTAACCCTTTGGAACAGGCGGGGAGATTTGATGTTATTAGATGTATGTGAGCTCTTGCTGGTGTCAGTGTGGTGATGGTGCTATGGGTAGATGCTGTAGGAGCGCATTCCTGTCTTTTAGGGTTGCATACTGAAGTGTTTGTGTGTGTGTGAGGGGTAGTTTGATGTCTGGAATTTGCTTAATTTAAAAGGTGGGGAGACAAGGTCATACATTGATAGCCTCATTCTGCTGGCCTCCCAGGATGAAATCCCCATAGTAAAAGTTAGAAGTAGGGGCGCCTGGGTGGCTCAGTCGATTAAGTGTCTGCCTTTAGCTCAGGTCATGATCTCAGGGTCCTGGGATTGAGCCCCACATCGGGCTCCCTGCTCAGCTCTCCCTCTCCTTCTCCCTATGCCTGCTGCTCCCCCTGCTTGTGTTCTCTCTGACAAATAAATAAATAAAATCTTTTAAAAAATCATAAAAGTTAGAAATTAATGTGATCCTCATAGGCATTTTAAAAAAAGGAAATTGTAAAGTCAGGCATAAGATTCTTTTGGGGCTGTGGGGAGAGCAGCTCTGGGTTGTCGCGGGTGCCCCTCCTGCGGGAGCGCTGAGGAGTAAGGCTGGCGCCCACCAGTCCCAGCACAGAAGAGCCTGGGCTCCATGGCGCTAATGGTCTTTAACGGAGCAGCTGTTAGAATGGATGGTTGATGATTTTGCCAAGTTAAGAAATTTGTAAAATAAGTTCCTTGAGCCCTGCAGTCATCAGTTAGAAATACCATTGTGAGAAGTCTCTTTTCTAGTAGGAAACCTGAAGCCGGAAATGCCTCTGATCAGAAATCCACGAAGGGGATCTTGGGGCACCTGGAGGGTTGGTGGCACGACAGAGCATGTTCCTGGACGTGAGGACCCGTACTGCCCCCCTCCCCCCCACCCCCTGATTTGGTGTAGTTCTAATGAAAATCCCTGTGTGGGACCACGTGTCCTTTTCAGATCTGAAAGTATCTTAAAGCTGCCAAATGTGGCCACGCAGGTCAGTGTGGGGACGTCAATAGAGCGGGCCCTGGGGCAGAGTCCAGGCCCTCAGGGGCAAGAAGAGACAGGCGCTCCTGGGACATAGGAAATTCTGCTTTATTTGTGAGTACGGGGGTAGGATGTGTACACACGTAAACCCAGGCCCATGTGTCGTGTGCAGAGGCCCGTGGCCCTGCTTCTGTGTGAGTACGGGCGGACCAGCTGGGAAGGGACAGTGTCATCTCCGCCCATTTCCTGGGCAGCGCTGTGCGGGGAGGTGGCAGGGACCCAGTGCTCCTGTCCCTCAGTGATGCTGCTTTGGGGAGTAGGTTCCAAGGAAAGACCAAAAAATGCCGGAAAAGCTTTGTTTTTAGAAAGACACTTACATCCCGCTAGTACCTGTCTGCCCGTGCAGCTCTGAAGATCGGCTGTGACCTACTGGATAACCTTTGTAGAATGTATTGGTATTTGCGTAATATTCATGAAGCTTTTCTTTTTTTAAAATTTTTATTTATTTTTTATAAACCTATATTTTTATCCCCAGGGGTACAGGTCTGTGAATCGCCAGGTTTACACACTTCACAGCACTCACCACAGCACATACCCTCCCCAGTGTCCAAACCCCCCCCAACCCCCCTCCCCCCACCAACCCTCAGTTTGTTTTGTGAGATTAAGAGTCACTTATTAATTATTATTAATTATTAATTATTAATATTGTGAGATTAAGAGTCACATGAGAAACACACGTTATAAAATAAGGAAATCAAATGTGGTATTAGACACTGTGTGATCACTATGAAACCACCTTTAAGAGGCGATACAGGTGAGTCTGTGAGCCTAGAAACCAAGGGGGACAGTGGTAAAGCAGGAACCAAGCCCCCCTGCCCAACGTATGACTTCTGCCTGGCTGCTTTGGCCTCTGACTCTCCCTGCCTCTTGCTTCCCCCACAGAATGTGATGCTGGAGCTTTCCAAACGCAGCCGCAGTGGCAAGTTCCGCCTGGTGACGAAGTTTAAGAAAGAGAAAAACAGCAAGAACAGAGAAGCTCGAAGTAGCCTGGGAGCCCCGGGTACCTGCCCTCCTGCTGTTCTTCTGGCTGTCCACGCCGGCTGTGGGGGCCATTGTGGTCTCTGCTTTTTCCTTGTGGCCTTTTGGTTCTTCCCCGTGGTCCCTGATCACGACCCCTATTGCCATGGTGTTTGTCTAGGGAGCTGCCCCTGCATTTGCAGCCCTGTGTTGTCGCTCCTGCCCGGGGTCACTCCCTGTGCGGACTCCGGTGACTGACACCACACTGCGTGCCTGCCCTGGATTAGGGGCTGCAAGGGGGGAGGGGGACACTAGAGGTGATAGGACACTCAGAGACACAGAGCTCACACTCCAGTCTTGTGCGGGGCCCACCGGGCCCGCCTCTTGTGAGGGGCTGCTGGTCCCTGGCCGACGACTTACGAGTCCAGGTCCCATGCTGGAGCCCGGGCCACCGACGCTTGCAGCTGGGGAGGTCAATAGCAAAGGGCACTCGAGGACATTTTTGGGGGAGTCTGTAAACTGGGGCTCTTAGCATGGCTGTTTCCAGTGCTCTCAGGGGCCGAGAAGCCCCGAGTTTGGATTTGTGGGTAGTGGTCACTGCCTTTGATTTTTCTTCTTCGCATGTTTGTCCAGCAGTTGGGTTTCTTTTAATGACGGTGGCTCTGGCTACATGAATCTCTGCCCGTTTCCCTTCCTGCTGTGGACCAGAAGTGACGGGACCCTCCAGAGAGGAGGGCAGGCTGGCTTCTGCGGCACGGTCACCTTGGCATTTACCTCTTTGGGGGTGTCTGGTCCCTCCTGGGACATGGGGGAAAGGACCAGGCTGATGGCCGACCTGGCAGGAACAGACTGCAGCTCCTTCCCTTGGAGAGCGGGTGGCTCCCTGCTGCTTTCTGCGTGGCTCTGGGCGGGCCTGCGGCTGGGCGGTGGGTGCCAGCTGCTGGGGGGGTGGGGTCCCTGCTGCTGGGGGTCTCGGGAGCCGGCTGTTGGGGGCGTCTCAGGGCCTGGCTGCTGGGTGTCTGGGGTGCCAGCTGCTGGGGCTCTGGGGTGCCAGCTGCTGGGGGCCTGGGGTGCCAGCTGCTGGGGGTCTGGGGTGTCTGAGGGGCCGCCTGCCGCCTGCCTCGCGCTGGGCTCTGGGCACTCACCGCATTCGTGCTTTTCCGTCTCCGACAGTTCACCTCTGGGGCACAGAGGAGGTTGCTGCCTGGCTGGAGCACCTCAGTCTCTGTGAGTATAAGGACATCTTCACGCGGCACGACATCCGGGGCTCTGAGCTCCTGCACCTGGAGCGGAGGGACCTCAAGGTACTTCCACATCGTCTCCTGGGAACCCGCCCCGGGCTTCCCTGCACTCCCTTCGCCGTCCCCCCTCTGACCTGGCCACGGCCCGGCGTCCGGGCTCTGCTAGAGGTTCTCTTGTGCTTGTCTCGGGGGATGCGCGACGGTGGCCAGCAGAGCGCCTCTGCCCCCTGGCACTGATGTCCCCAGCTCCCATAGCCAGACAAAGCCAAAGCGGACGTGATGGAGAACTTTGCTTTTCTTAATCTCATTGGACAAAGGAACTATTTTCACATTAAAAATCCCGTCGAGGGCGGGCGCCTGGCTGGCTGTGAGTAGAGCGTGTGACTTTTGGTCTCAGGGTTATGGGCTTAAGCCCCACCTTGGGGGTGGAGCCCACGTAGAGATAAACTCTGTTGGGGGACACAGCTCTATGCTAAGTAGTCCGCTGAGGAGCCCTGTGTGACAGAGGCCCCCAGCACGCGGGGGTCCCTCTCCCTTTGGAGCTGACACGCAGGCACCCCACCGAGATGCTGTGAGGGAACGAGTCCGAACGGTTTGGTTTCCCGGCACACAGGACGGTCACGTTTAGAACATGCAGTCTGTCAGGTGTGCGGCAGCGTTACATCTCAAAACTGTGCCTGCCTTAGTGAAAAAAATACTAGTCGCTAAAAACTGCTGACTGTCATTTGAGCTTTCAGTGAGTCCTAATCGGTGGTCACCGATGACCACAACAAATGTAATAGCAAAAATGTCTGAAATATTGTAAGAATTCCCAGTATGTGACACAGAGGCTTGAACAGAAGCTGTTGGAAAACTGGGACCGACAGACTTGCTGGACACAGGCTGCTAGGGGCCCTGAGTGTGGGAGGTGCGTGGGGTCCGCGGGTGCAGCGGTCGGAGGCAGGCTGCTCGTGGCTGCGGTTCGCGTGGGCCAACCCGAGCCTGGGGCTCCTGGAGCCATGTCCAGAGTGGGTGACCCCTCACCTGAGTGGGTGACCTACCCCTGGGGACGTCCTGGACGGCAGCTTTGTTGAGTCACTGTATCCCTGCCACCAGGCCAGCGTCCCGGGTCTGTCCTGCACGGCGGCAGGGACTGAGGCTTGTGGGAGGGGTGTGGCGGGCATCCGCACGACTCTTCGCGCGTGGGCCATCTCTGTCTGGTGTCACCATCTTCATTTTTTCTCCTTCGCTTGCATTCAGAAAGCCAGGTAGAAGGCCCGCGGGGGCCAAGCCCCCTTCCTGGCATCAGGGTGCTGTCCTTTTCGTTGCAGGACCTCGGCGTGACCAAGGTGGGCCATATGAAGAGGATCCTGTGTGGCATCAAGGAGCTGAGCCGGAGCACTCCTGCCACCGAGGCCTAGCCCTGGCCCTGTCGGCCTGCGTCCCCTGCGCCCCCCACGACTAAGGCCAGGCGCAGCGCCTGCCCCTTCTCATGGTGCTACTCCCTTTGCTCCAGACAGGAAGCCTTGCAGACGCCCGTTCTGTGACTGCTCCGGGGTCTCGAACACACCAACATAGCTACCTTGAAACAGCGCCTCGTCCCACCCGGCGTTATGTGGGGCGGACCGCCACCTCCCCTCCGCTCTTGCTGACCTGTGACCTGGGCCGGGCCTGACCTCCTGGGCCCTGGGGCTGCCTGGGATTGTCCTGTGGGTTCCTCATGGTGAGCCTCATCATCGCACACCGTGTGGCATCTCCCGGGCGTGCAGAAATTGACCCAGCTGGCAGCCTCCTGCACTGGAAAGTTCTTTCTGTGCCCACCAGCCACCCAGGTCTTGACAGCACCCCTTCCAGGCCACCCTCAGCTGATGTCCCATTTATGGATGAGGTCTTTCACAAAGATCTGCCTCTTGTCACTTGAGTGTGGCAGGAATGCATTGCCAGTCCTGTCCGTTGTCACTAGACCTGGAGAGGAGGCAAACTTGTCCTTCCTAAAGCCGGGTAAACGGGTGGCTGTGATCTTGGGCTCCCAGATCCCTTCCCTATTGCTTTTGGTCCCTTGTCCTGGTTGGTGCCCTCTCTTGTGGGACGTGGGATGTCTGTCCTGAGATGCCGTAGCCTCTCTTGTCTCTCCACAGAGGACGTATTTGCGTGAGCATGGTGGTGTGGGGAGAGAGTGCTTGCTGGGTGCTGGGAAGATGTCTCTCCCTATTCTGGGGGAGACCAGGCTTGGTCCCAGGCCAGCGTCCCGACAGTTTGACCGTGTGGATGGCTCTGTCTCATGCCACTCCAGCCCACGTCCCCAGCCCTTGTGGGCCCGGGTGGAAGAACAGTGTCTGGCTGCCAGCTAAGGCTCCATGCCCCAAAGGGGGTGCTGAGCATCGGTGTCTGCAGGCCACGCCACCCCATCTCCTGGAGCTCGCTTCACCCCTCGTCCCTGTGAGGGGACTGGGCTGCAGGTGCTGTCTGGTCACCCTTGAGGGGACCCTGGGGAGCTCACCACCAAACAGCCTCTACTTGCCACTCGCTTTGCAGGCCCCTGTGCCTCCCCTTTATTGGTGTGCCTGGTGGGCCCCTCCGTGAGCCAACCTGGCCCATACCTTCGGTTTGGGGGTGCTCCTGCTGGTGACCTTCCGGGTGCCCAGCCAGCTTCTGTCCCCAAGGGTGGAGTGGTAGCATTGGGTTTGGGGTGAATAGGCCTGTGCTCCGCAGGGCGCTCTGCTGCGCCTTTGGGGGTAGGCCGGGCAGCTGTGCGTGGCCTTCCCCACGCTAAGGTCCAGTGCCAGCAGATGGCCGTTCGGGACATGGAAGGCAGAGAGGAGTCATCTGGCCACCAGGAATCACTGGTTTTCCAGGTAGAACAGGCTGAGAAAGGAGACTGTGGGGACCTGAGCCTGCGGTGCCAGCACGGTGTCTGCGCTGTCCCCTCTGGCAGGGGCCGGGGACAAGCACGCCCATGGCAAGTGGGGGAGTGGCGGCTGCGGCTGCGTCTGAAACTGCGAGCCACCCCAGGCCCTCCCGGCCCTCTCTCGGGGAAGCCTGAGGGCTGGGTCAAGCATGGTGTTTAAAATTAATGTGTTGTCAGTGATGAAAACAACACTGTTTACGTAGAAACCATTTTTCTGATTCTAGTAAGTTAGAGGTGAATGGAGTAAATGTGAGTGTCGCATGGAAGTGCACCGGTGTGGGGCCAGCGCTGCGTTGCTGTGGGGGCCGCGTCGCCCTCCGTGGCCCGCTTCTCTGCCAGGCCCCGATGTTCCTGCTGTGGCTGAGCGCGGTCCCGCTGGGACCCCAATCCTGTCAGCATGGAGGGAGGAAGGGTCAGTCCTGGGGAGTCTTGGAGAAGAGGTTTTGTGCCCTCGGGTGGGGCTTACCCCTCATATTTATGATTTTAATTTATACAGTGCCCGCCGTGGAAGCAAATGCCTCCTGTATTGCTGTGTACATACCCGATCTGGGGTTGTAAATAGGTTGTTCTGTGTATAAATAAAATCTTCCATTGACACATTTCTTGTTGTCATTTCCTGTGCTTTGACATAAAACATTACTTGCTCAAGTCTTTCCAAACTGGATTCAGGATTATGTTTTTTAGCTACTTAAAAATAAGGTGAATTGGTGTGGCTAAAGAACAAAATGGAAAGTCATTGTGTTTGTGAGTTCTTGGGTCTGTTGAATTAAAAACTCAGCAAGGAGGTCGGGCTGAGGGTCAGACTCCATCATGGGCAGCCTGGACCAGCCTACTGTGGGCATGTCATGGAAGCAAATATTCTGATCCTCCTAAATCTTTCCTATAAAACCACAGACCAGCTCTCCTACCTGTTTAGCTCCTAGTACCTTTATCCCAAGGCAGCAACCTCTCCAAGCTCAAGGTCATGCTGTTATCTCTCAGTTCTTGGGTGAGGCGGGTGACTGGGATCATAGAATTGAAAATGAGGCTGACAGGGTTCAAAAGGGCTGCATGGGCTTTTGAATACACTGGTTCTCTCTCCAACAGCTCTCTCTCCCTCCCTCCTCGCTCTTCGGGGGCCCAGGTGTACTGTGGTGTGCTCCCTCCTCCCATGTGGCTATCCAGGATTAGCCTCATGGTTATAAGATGGCTGCCACCACCCCAAGCATCACACCCAAAAAGTGACCCAAGTCCAGGGTAAGGTGTACGTGAGCAGGTGGTCGTCTCTTCTGTGTCTTTTTAAGATGAAAGGAACATTTTCAGAAGCCCAGCTTTCGCTGACCGCCCCTCATGCCTCATTGTCTAGAGCTGCACACAAACCCGGGTGACAGGAATGGGACCATGCTGAGATGACTGACCATGCATGATCAGTTAGGCTAACGCATGGAATATCTTAACCAGGTGCTGGCCTGAGTGGTTTGCACATACTAACTCCTTTATTGCTTCTAACAATCCTGCCTCTTACAGATGAGGAATGGGCTCAAAGAGGTTCCCAGCTTGTGGCGTGTCACACAGCTAGCATGTGGCAAAGGTGGGAGTCATGGGGCAGGTGGGTGCATGAGATCCTACCTTGAGTGCTGTCCTCTGTCCCAGCCCTGACACCAAGCTCAGCCCACATGACAGGTGAGAAAATTGGGTCCAAACTAGCCCATTCTGCTGGCCCAGAAGCCCAGCTCCGTACGGTTTGGCAGGGGTGGGGATGGAGGGCCCTGCACATCTGGGAAGTGGGTCTGGGGAGGGCTGCTGTGGCCTCTGCTAGCTGCTGGCCTCCACTCTCACTGGTGAGGCGCACTGCACAGGGCTGGGCTCCACTGGGTCACAAAGCAGGCAGGGAGCCGGCAGGAGACCATGTGGGGCAGAGTGGGGGGGAGGCCAGATGCCAGTCCAGAGGGGACGAGGGGGAGGGTGCAGGTGTAATTCGATGGCCAGACTGGCCAAGGCAGTGTGTGCAGCAAGAGGAGCAGTCTTTCTAAACTCATGCCACTTCCTGTTAGACGTCATCCTCCAAGGAAACCCAGGTGCTCTACACAGTTTACCTTCATCCAATCCAGCGACAGAAGCCTCCTGAAGTGAGGGAAGGCCAAGCTGTTTGACCTGTGATGGCTCAGACCGGTTTATGCTTTGTTCCCAGAGCAGTCAAGGGCAGGTGTGTTTCCGCAACTCAGGCTGCAGCCCCTCCTCATGTCCCTTGGGGGTCGGGCTGTCGTGGCCAAGGTGGCTCTGGTGGTCTGGGGTGGGGGGAGTGTGAGGCTTCCCGAGCCCACCTGGACAAAGGTGGTTGGAAAGGCAAACCACCCTCCTCGCCCCCGGCGCCCCGCCGTGCCCGGCTGCTGTGCGCGAGCAGGGGCCGCACACGCACTGGCTCATCGCTCATCACCAGTTTTCTCCTGCTCTGGGGCCCCTCCGCTTTCCAGTCTCCTTAGGGGAGAAGGTCCCTCAGTCAACACACACCTTGCCCGCCTTCCTTCTTTAGGGGTTTTCCAGGTGTTTTGTAGGAGAGAGGCATATATCCCTGAGGGGACCAGAAGGGTACCTCAGAGCCTCAAGCTGTCCCTTGACAGAGCTCAAGCTGTCCTCTGGTCAGCAGTGTTCTGTCTGCCAGAGTGGCCCTTACCTGCTGCCTGGGAGGCTCTCCTTGCTCCTGGGAGCTGACGTCTGTGACCCAGGGACTATCCTGGCCCCACCCAGGCAGCATTCCTGGTGGTGCCCTCCTGTGGCGGGGGTGGCCTCCACCTCCCGTACTCCGGCCTCTGCCACAGGCTGTGGGGCTACTCTGCTGGCTGCCGGCTGAACGTTTGCACTGCCCCACTGGCCGAGGGTGGCTGGAGAAATGAAGCCTGGGGGCACGGGGGCTAAGGAGGAAACCGGGACTCATCTGGACACTGGATCCTTCTCCTTCCGTCTCTCTTTGTCCCACAGTACTTCATGAAATGGGGAGCTTTGATTCTTGGTGTTTCTTCTCCTGACCCCAGCCTAGCTTCTCTTCCCCTGCCAAGGGTGAGCGCTGGCAGTGCTGCTCTTGTGGACATGCGTGCAGGATGCAAGGAGGACTTCGGCTTTTTGCTAAAGATAGTATCTAGGCATGCATGGCTCTTTTTTTTTTTTTTTTTTTTTTGAAGAGTGCACATGAGGGGGTAGGTGGGTGGGGGCAGAGGGGGAGGGAGCAAGAACCTCAAGCAGGCTTCATGCCCAATGCGGAGCCTGATGCAGGGCTCCATCTCATGACCCTGAGATCATGACCTGAGCTGAAATCAAGAATCAGACGACTAACCTGCTGGGCCACCCAGGTGCCCTAGGCTTGCGGGACTGACTTGTACTGATCCTGGGTTTAACATTTTAATATTTTATTCATCATGGATTTTTCTGCATTAATTTTGATTTCTAAAAATGCTGTTACTAAAAACTGATCGGTCTTGTTTGACTACCAAGTTTTTGGGGCAAAAACCTGCAGGTTTTTGCCCAAGGCCTCCACTTCCCCGAGTCCTAACCCACTGTTGCATAATCTAGTTGTGAATGTTAGAAGCTCCGACTCCCTGGCATCTGTGGAAGCCACTGCTTGATGCTGATAAATGTCAGTTTTCTATCTCTTGCGCCACTAACAGATCCCCACATCATCTGGGTCGTGTGTTGTGCTCAACATTCTCCCGTCTCCTCGGCAGTCGCACCTCCTCTGAGGTCACTTAGTAATGTGACCAAGTGTTGGCCAAAGAAATGTAAGTATTAATTGAGATTTCCGGAAAGTTTCTTTTAAGCCTTTCTTTTTCCTCCTGCTGTTGGCCTGGAGGGTGGACATGATGGATGGTGCTCCAGCAGCCAGCCTGGGCCACGGGATGGCGCTGAGCATGGAGACACGTGTCGAGGGTGGCAGCCCACTCTTGGACATCTCCATGGTCTCCCCAGAGTTCCCGGCCCCCTCTCTGCTCCTGCCCAGCAGCCTTCTCTTATATGAGTGAGGATTACACGTGTCTTGTTTTGTCTCTAAGTTGAACCTATCCCTGTGGCAGTCCTTCTGTAAAGATTTTGTACTTGGGAAGCAAGAGTGAAAGCATACAGAGACATGAGTTATATCTATTATGCAGGTGTGAGGCCAAAGGGGCCCAAACCCCAAGGAGATGGGTGAACTGGTACAAA